GTACGTCGTTTCCATAGCTAGGCGGGATTTCGCTTCCAGTGAAATTCTTTCTTCTAGGAATCCTCCCTTTTAAACCAGTACTACTAGAATCTCATTTCTTAGAATAGCTCCGTCTAGCAGGGACCGTCGCTAGATGTTATAATCTCTTTAGGTAAGCAGCGCTGAATCGTCTGTGAAAAACTGTTTATTTTTTATTTGTTTAATTTCTTTATACATCGTTTTAGATGTATTATAGAATTCGAACATGTGCCAATGATTAGATAATTCGTCAGATGATATTTTTTTACATTATGAGTTATAAAATGAATGAGATGTAACACTTTTAAGTGAATCTAGCGGCAGAGTATCGCTATGATAAATAAATATAGTGAATTTTAAAAAGTGCATTTATTATATTGTGGTTTAAGCTCTATCGACGAAGTAGATTTAATTCTATTCAATAAATTTAAATGGAATGCAGGAAAAAAGTGCACATAATTTAATATTCCGTACAAGGAAGTCATGTGGTGTACACATCAGATATTTTTTAAATTACCGAGTTGATTTGAATAGTTGGGCCCCAAGGGCAATAAAAATGAAATTTCAAGAGCTGTGTGCAAATAGATGATAGGACAGATGCTATACAATGGTAAATTCACACCAATATTCCTATTAAAATTTCTTACAGAACGTATATGTAAGATAGATATATGAATAGAGTTTTAATATAACAATGGACATTTTCTGAGGTATTGTGGAAAATTTAATATAAAATATTACACACATTTGTATTGTAAGTCGGATGTCGATGTTGTTAATATTATTCTGAGTCCACTTCGCTCCAAAGCCTATGAAAGAACTACCAACTAATGACCTATAAAAAATTTTACGGCGGTCAAAACAGGAAGAATGTCAGGTATAATTAAATATCAGGAAATGTTACATATTAGCAGAAGAATGCAAATTCTGCGGTTTATACATAAGTAATTTTTTTTATTTCTTCTTATGTAGTTTTAATACTTCTTATGTAGTTAAGCTATATAATATCTTTTGGTATAAGCTTATCTGAGTTTCAGATCTTAAGGTGCCGCGACAAATATTTCAGTCAGTTGACATGCCTTGACATACATTATAAGAAAACTTATGTTGATTCCTGGTAACTCTTGATGACGAGTCGAGCTGTAAGCATCTGAAAATCGAAACTGAAGATTCGAAACAAAAGCCAGTTTCCAGTTGAGGTGTCCAGAGTAAGGCATTTTAAAGAGATGAATATCTGAAAGTCACGTTTCTGATAGTTTGCAAGTTTCTCAAAGGCTCACTTTTGCGTTTTTTATCTCGAGAACCTAAAACAGAAATATTTACTTGAATATCTGTGGCAACAGTAGTTTGTGTTGTTGTTGCTGTTAGTAATCTCACTTGTCTTCTGATGTTATCCGAATAAGCCATAGATTATTATCGTGGCAAGGAGCTTGCGTCTTTCGTTGGCCAGAGCCTTGAGTACAGGTGACAGTCCGACTTTATGCTCAGTTCCACCCAATTTTGAAGAAGAGAACCCTGCAGGGCAGAACATTAGGTGGCCAGGTTCATCCTTTTCCTCGAACCACACCAACGCAATTCTGGCCTCGTGACATGGGGTGTTGTCCTTCTGAAAAATTCCATTTCCGGTTGGGAAGACAGATGCTATGCAAGGGTGCAACTGATTTGAAATTACATTCAGACAGTCCACAGCTTTCATGGATCTGTTCTACAACGATGAATCCCACAGCCGCTCATGACAACGTCCCCCAAAGTATAATACCGCCAACACCAGCCTCCTGTATATGACCTGCTGTACGGAGGGGGAGCAACTATACGCCTGGAAGGCAATGTATTCTGACACGACCATAGACATGATAAATGGGAAATCATGATTAATCCGACCAAGCAACTTCCATTTATCCATGGTCCAATCTCGATATTCTTAGGCCCACTGTAGGCGTAGTTGACAATGACGCTCGGTGAACAGAGGCACACGAGTGGGACGTCTGCTGCGCAGTCCTATATCCAAGAGTGTCCACTGAACTGTGTACTCCGAGAAACTTACACTTGGGTGAGCACTGTATTGGGCTGTCAGCTGATACACTGTCTGACGCCGATTTTGCTCTACCAAGTGGGACAATCTCCGACGTCCTTTTTCTTTGATGGTGAGTGGACGTCCAAACCCTTGGCGTCTGTTCTTGGTTTCACCGTCATTTATCTACTTTGCATAAATACTAACAATGACAGATCGTTAACAACCTACCAGTCGAGCAGTTTTGGAGACACTCATTCCGAGTCTTACGCCCATAACAACACAGAACATCTATGTAAAGAAGGAAAGGTTCCATAGATGTAATGTACACCAGTTTGCTATTACGCCGCTGGAAAGTGGAGGGAAAATTTGCCAAGGGATTTGGCGACGGAACCTGGCGGCGAAAATTTCCCCCTCCGCGATGTGTACAGGAAATTGAGGAACACGTGTTTAAAAGAAACATTCTTTGACTTTTCATGATAATTTAAACTCGGATTTTCATACTTTTCTGACTCAAAATAACTAATCCATTAATTAATTTACTAGCGCGAAAAAATATTTTTTTTCTAAGTTTAAAGAAATTTAAAATGATATTCGTTTTATGAATGAACACTTGATAAATGTGACCTTTGAACTTCGATGCCGGCTTCCAGCTTTGGCGACAGATTTTTCGCGCATGCGCAGCTGTTTACGTTGGGACGGAGCCACTTCCGTTGTAGAGAAGTTTTCCTTCTTAGCAATACATATTCTTTGATTACAATATGCCCTCTGTCAGATTCGCTTAGATCAGTAGACTTTCCCATCACTTGCAAAAGTAAGCGCAAGAATGATTCCTACTTTCTCCAGCAGCAGTTAAATACCATTCACACTTAAATCACATGCCCTCCCCTTCATCCAAACGAGTTCATTGAAAAATGTGAGAAAGATCCTAATATTTTGGCTCGTCAGTATACACTCTTCGCAAAATTCGACTGATCAGTTCTGGACATTTACCTTGATCTCATCATCTCTTGCAATGAGCTGACTGGCAAAAACTTTTTTGAGATGAGAAGACAAATGGATCTTTGTTGGATGCAGATAGATCCGAACTAAAAGCAGAGTGATAGAATTGTTCCCAGTGAGATGAATCAAGCAGCGTCATTCTCACACATACAGTATATGTGTCACTCGTTGTTATGCATAAACACAATACCAAAAGTCCACACTTTTTCTGTATCACATGCCAGAACTTCTTCAAAGTCTCACAGTTAGATTAAGCATTAATTGTTGTGCCTCGTTCCGTCCAGTCAACTAATAAAATTCCTTGAGAGTCCCAAAACATGATGCACATGATTTTGCTTGAAAGAAAGAAGTGGCTTTCCCAAGTTTCGGGGAACTAGTATGCCTCCCATTCCAGTGACTGTTGTTTTATTTCATGCGTCTCATAACAAATTCATGTTTCATCGCTTGCGACAATCCTTTTAAAAAAATGATTTTCTTCTGTCGCATAATGCTGCAAAACCTCAAAGACTGCTCCCATGCATTTTCGTTTTTAAACATTCGTTAATATTTTCGGCACCCATCACGAACACAACTTTTTGTAGTGCAAATGTTCAGTCACAATTTCATGCAATAAAGATGGTGAAATGTTTTGAAAATGCATTGACAAATCAGAAATTTTGAATCGCCTAATGGAATAAATGTTTTCGTCGATGCAGCGCACCAGCATCAACGACGAGCGTCCACTGAGCTATTCGTCGTGGTCATTTTCTCTTTAATTCTTAAACATCCTAACCCACTTTCGCACCATACCTTCACTCATAGCATTCTCTCCGTAAGTTTTACGTATCTGACGATAAATTTCACAAAGTCGAACATTTATCGCATTCAAAAATTTGGTAACGACTTTTATTTCACACCTGGAGGGCCGATCAATTGTTTTAAACATGATTACTGACAAATAATGACTTCTAACTAACAAAATGTTTAGGCTTCTAAACAAACAAAATGGTTAGGCTAATTCGTTCTCAAGTTGAACAGTGTAACTACGCAATTTTCACGGCAGATATGAGCAAAAGATACTTAGTTTCTGAATCAGCTTAACAATACATAAAATGTTTCTGTAGTGAAATATTACATCATAACGAACTGCTAAGACTGTAGCTCGCTACCGCTTTATGAGGATGATACCATTATATGAAGCTTTGTCCCTTATTCCATTTTGTGATCAAAGAACTAAATTCATCTTTTCTTGCTCACTGATCCTTTGAAGACTTCCTCCATAGTTGCTACTTCTGAAGATATTCCGTATCTTTTTTACTGAGCTCATTTTTATGTTCCTCTAGTAACTCCTTCACATCTTCATTGTTAAAGCCCATGGTTTTGCTAGCCACATCATATTAAAGACATAAAAAAAATCTTCAGTATCAGAACCTTCAAAAGCCTGCACAATGTAGCCATAATTTTCTCCTAGGGTGAATTCATAGCCCTGTAAGTTTATTTGCTACCAAGCTTTGTTAATGAGAATTAAGTAATGAAAAATATTACAGTGATGTTTTTAGAAGACCCTCAGAATTAATTCTGTGTCACAGGTTATCTCAAAACAACTTGAAAAATCATTTGTTACTGACTTCAGTGTTCACAACTCAAGATACCATTCACTTTGATGTTTTTTTGCCCAGATTTTTTTTTTTTTTTAAATATAAGAAACTTTTGTAACCTCAGATTTTATTGTATTTGCATTAAAAGATGGCTTCACAGAAATCTCTCAAAGACAAACTTGTACTGATGTCGCATATGAAACCAATCATGAATACTTCTGCAACCAGCTTACTATCTAGGAACTAAACTTTAAATGAATTATCATTATTCAGCAGTCTTATAAAACAATAAGAACTGAACAAAAAATTTTCATAAATACATTCAAAAAAGTATCATACTAAAGATAAAATACAAAAACAATTCTGAAATTAAAAAGAACGAAAATTAAACTAAGCATAGCATATTAAAAGTTTTTATTAGGCAATAATACATACAATTTTTACAGCGACTATTAATTGCACTTTATTTTAAATGTACACTATATATTTTATAAAAAAGCTAGCATTATTGCAGGTTAATCAGCTAACTTTGTTACTCACAAAAGTTTAGATCTGCACATAACTTGTTTTTAAGTTGTCATCAACAACTGAACAATATAAAACTATACATTTTTCGTCATTCTCTCACACATAATAATAATAAGTACAAAAATTCTAATTCTCAAAATAAACACTATCTACATGACTGATTTGTAAAACCCTTATAAATATTTAATAAGGGATATTTTAAAACAAACTGTAATAAAAATTTACGGAAATTCACATTAATAAAATATAACAAATTTTGAGGGTATTGGTCTACAGAATAAAATAATAATAATAATAATAAAATACTGAAGTATACTATTCAATAAATAGCTATACATGACATATGAAACACATGAGACACTACAATACCAAAATAATCAGATTACCTTTCCACATATAAAAATGTTTCAGTTGTACTTACTTTACATTACACTAGCTTTCCCATATAAAACTAGTGGGAAATTTGGCTCCTAGGAAGAATTCATTCCTCAATTTTTAAAACAAAGAAAATTTTAAATAGGATAAAATACATAAATGGAGTACTTAATTTTAAAAACTCAGTCATGCAGATACTTTAATGAGAAATTAACTATTATATTTCCCCTCCCTATAAATAGAACTTAATATTGTAATACTTTATTATAAAACATATATATATATTTTCACATGTATTTGAGCTTTTTCTATACACAAGTTAAAAAATTAAAGGCACTAATGTATATTTAAACATCACACATACTTTATAAAACAATTATTACCTATGAGCAAAATTCAGCATTTAAATATAATACCCGAAAAATACAAGAAACACATGCTGGCACAGTGGAAGTTACAAATGCATGACAATTAAACATTCCAATTTAAACAGAGTATTTAGTTAATAAAACATAGGCACTTGAAATCCTAAAAGACAGAACTAGATACACAGACAGACTTCTTGCAAAGCATGGTAAATGGGCGGCACCAGAGAAATTCACTGAACAGAGGTAACTTCTTAAATTGTACTTAATATTTACTACTTTTATGATTTTAAAAATATTCTTTTTCCTCATTTTGCCATTAAATTAAGTCTTTTAATGGCAAAAAGTATTATAATATCTTTACAACTTAGACTTTTACATTCCAATTAATTTAGGTAATTTTTTTAAACAACTTTACCCTGTTTTACTTATTAATTTTGGTATCATTGACTATATACGTTTTTACATATTAGTTGTTTATGAGGTATAAAAGATTGGTTCATCATAAACAATTTAGTTATTATTTCAAGCAGCATCTCTATCCTTATCTTAATTTTCTTTTAACTTTTAGAAAGAAAACATGACAGTATTTGAAACAAATAAATTAGTAGACTCCAGATTAACCAGGGTAATAACAGTGAGGATGACCACAGGTAACACAAAATCACAGTCAATTCAAAAACAGTTAAAAGAAAACACACAGGAAAGAAGAATAGCCCATATTATAATTAACAGAAAAATACTATTAACAATTTACCTGTATTTTACTCAGTTAGCTTTGCAGAATAAATTTATTTATTTATGTAAATTACAGAAGCTGTCTGCACACTTTTTAGATGATTTTGCTTTTCTATTAAAAAAACACCTACTTGGTAATTCTTTTTCTAACTTCAACTATATTTTTGAAGATATAAATAATCTTTCATGCAAAATGGTGCTTTAAAAGAAACACTGGAAGGAAGGCTATATTTTTGCTCTTTCCAAAGAAAGTTATTCACATCTAGTTATCAAAAAATGCTCTGAAAGCCATGATTTTTCAATCTCAAAAGTTACAATAAGTAATTACAACAAGAAAGGAAAAATACGTCAAAGCTTTGCTTTATGCAGAAAAATTGTTCCAAACATATATCCAAGGAAAAAAAGGAATGTTTCAAATGTTGCAGAGATAAGATTTCTAATATTAAAAGAAAATTTTCTAAGTCAATGGAGCGTTGCAAAATCCTTAAAATGCTCAGTGTCAACTGTAAACATTCAGTGTCAACTGTAAAGTCATTAATGCTGGTTTGAATCTTAAATAGGGAAAAAAACATAATGTGCAACTCTTTCTCCACCACATAGTGTCAAACGTAGAACACACTGCATTCTTTATCTGAAACATATACCTGAGAAAAAATAGAAAAATGTCATCACAATATATGAATCTTGGGTGTATTTAAATGACTGCAATAAAAAGAGTTATATTTATTATGATCAAAGGGGAGAAAAAAGAATTAAAACATGATTCAAAGAATCTAAAGAAAGCATGAAAAACCAACAACAATAATAAATCCCTTTGAAAAACTTTCTTTAGATTCTTTGAACCATATTTTAAGACTTAAGTAGCCACACGTCCAAAATCCACTGTTAATTTCCTGGAGAAAATGAAACAAGTATTAAAGCTATACCCTTCACACATATCCCTACTAAATCTCATGATGTATAACAGATGGATTTTTAAACTTTTGGTCTTTTAAAAAGACGGCGGACCAAAACATCGACCAACAAACCTCCTTGGATGCTAGAAAGCTGTTCAAGAGGAATGAGATAAAATACCTCTTCTGATACTAAAAAAAAAAAAAGCTTCACTATCTTGGAAATCACAGTGTAGAATGATAGGGAAGAATTACAGTTATCAAATAGAAGATTTAAATCAAAACAAAACAAAAATAGGTAAAACATTTCTGTAAATACAATAAAATCATCTAAAAAATGTGCAAACAGCCTCTGCAAATCTACATTCACAAGTGGAAGAACAATGTTTTCATACTCTTTTATTTTTATGTAAGTCACTGGAAAACTGATGATAAATGACTGTACTTAGCAATTTATTTAAATAGATAATTTAACACTATTTATTAAAGTACAAGCTACTTTGCATTAAACAAATTCCCAACTTAGGGGGGGGGCATTATCCAGAAAAATTTTGCTTTATTCTGATGGTCTGTGGTAGCAATTTTTTCATTGTTCCACAATAAACAAACTTTTTTTTTTCTTTTTCTAAACAAGGCTGAATTATTCAGCAATTTTATTAATTCATCTCCAGTTATACAGGAGTTGATTATATTCTTATAAATGATAGATATTAATATTTTGCTTATTACAAGCATTAATAAAAATATCCATTACATTAAAATTTTGTATAAATGAAAATTTAATCATAAAATAACTGTTTCACATATTTTCTGCCACGATAAAAAAATTCAGCAAACTTATTTAAAACTTGGTACGTAAATTTTAAAATTGTCTTCCGATTCCTGCAAATTTCTCTCATATCATAAATTTCAGGATATTTATACGATATTAAAAATTTTCAATGAATATTTAAAAAAATTAATTTCACTCATCTCTCAGAATTCATATTAAATAAAAAATTTCACATCTTGAATTAAAATTTTTAACTGTAATTTAAAGTTAATTCATTTAAGTTTAAGAATTAAGCTTTTTGTCTGTAGTTTACATACATACTCATAACATACACATTATTTTATTAAGAATAACATAAAACAGTTTAAAATTAGAAGTTTTTGTGACCAAAGTATAAAATGCATGATTTAAAACATAGAATGTAACATTCATTTTATAGTAAAAAATAAATGCAATGTGACTTTAAGTCTAACAAGATCTCTTCAACAATATACCAAAATCACAAAAGAACAATATAATTTCTTAAATAGGTATTTCAATAATACAGGTGGAAAAACAGCTTTTCTAATAACTGCTAATATAACATGAGGCTTATCAGACTAAAAATAAATGAAAAAATATATACAACAGGAGATATAACGGTATCACACTTATGCATTCAACAGAAAATGAGATGTCATGACAAAAAGTTAAAAATAGAATTAATACTTAATTTCATAAGTTAAAAAAAATTATTAAAAAAAAAAAAGACTTCAGTTGCAATCTCAGACAGCATAGTACTGGCCAGTTTTGTAAACTATGCATAAAAAAGCGCTAGAACATTTGCAGGGTGATTTGTTGCACCATTTTTTACACTTTATACACAAACTAAATTTTTAAAGGCATTATCACATTGTAGACACATAAAATAAACTACTATCAAAACATGATAATATAAGCTATTATCAAAATGTTTTTTTAACCCTTTGCATAAAAACTGCTTAACACAAACTGCTCTTAAAAGTCTTAAGTTTTATGAAAATCATATAAACACACATTTATACCTAAAAATTTATAAAATGAGCAAAAAATGTAGTACACAATACTGGTTAGCTGTTAAGTTTACACAAACTGTTATTAAACTACGGTACCTGAAAAGCATATATTTGCTTCTAAAAAGGACAACCTATACAGCTAAAACAATGAAATATGGCATCATTATTCATTATTAAGGTACAATACCGCTTATTATAATAATATCCACATTGGAAACGGAGGATGTATCACTCAGGTATAAAACATATATGGGCAGGTTAAATATGATTAACTGCTTTCAATAAGCTCTTTCTTTCAGTTTGTAAAAGAATAATTCTCTCTTCATATTTTATCATTCATGACAATGTCTTTACACGTTTCCATTTTAAATTGCATATAATATATGACATATAGTTTAATAATTTCTTAAGCCACACAGTATTAAAATATTAGAGTATTAAATAAACTTCACATCATACAATGAGTTAAAAACAGATTTCTGCAATTTTATCCACATCATCATATCTTTTACAATATATCTGTATAAGAATATGACTAAAATAATTATACAAATTATATGTTAGCTATTTTTTAAATAAGATATTAAAATCTCAGTTTTTAAATGGACAGCTTAACTAATACAACCCATACAACAGAGTTGCAATGTTTACCAAATGAAAAAGCATGATTCATTAGTCATTAGCTATTAAAGGCACACATTGGCACAATATTTGTGTATAAAATATCTAAAATAATCCACTTGATTTTTTATGTTCTGACTGCTTCCAAGATGGCATATTATAGAATTCATCTTTCTTCATTCCAAGAACTTCCTAAAATATGAACATATAGGTTAACATTTTTAAACAAGAAAGTCCCCCCCCCCCATTTTTCTATAAATTTCAAAGCTATGCACAAAGTAAGAAACATTTTAAAATGTCTATATTATGCCACATAATGTTTTATATATGCTGTTTCAGAGAAAACATATAAGTACATTAAAAATCTTTAAATATAAATTATTCAAGTGTCACATACACACTATTAGTGTGCTGAATAGATAGAAATAAAAGAAAATGACATACAAGCCAGTATAGCAAGTACTGTCATAGATGCGTAGTTACATGAAGCTGTCATTAAATGCTAACTTTCTGGAAAAGTAGTTAATTTTTTAAATATAATGTTAACATATATTCTTCCTGGTCCTGGTTTATTATAAAATCCATGTTCTAAAGTTAAATAATTATAAATTAAAAAGAAGATAAAAATTGAAGAATTTATTTACTGAAATTAATCTTCATAAATTCTGATTAAAAAAAGATTAAAATTCCTCAGTAAAATGAAATACTATTAAATCACAAATACTAACTAATACTATCAAATCACAAATACTAACTAATACTATTAAATCACAAATACTAACTAATACTACTGAATACTAGCCATTCTGATTAATCAGCATAAAATTTATAGATGTTTCTTTTTATAATCTTTGCATATTCTTAAAATACTAAATTTTTATTATTACTCAACTAATCATACAGGATGCTATGCATTATTTATTTCTCTGTCAGCAATTAAATCTAGCAACAGAATTAAAATCAGTTACTTTATATAACATTCTATTAAACTTAATATCTCTAAAATTTATCAGAGTTTACTAAGAGTCAACGCTATTCAGTTTAATACTGTTAATAATAATTTATAAAATTCCTTCTTAAAATTATAACCATATACTATTCGAATACCAAATGCTAAAAGTTATTTTACTCATGAAATTTTAAGCATATTACCTCAAATTCTTCATCTGTAAGATAAGATTCTAGACGCAAAGGATCAACACCAGCAGGTCTAGGCTTCTGCTGCAATTCTTTTAAGCTATATCTATCTCGAGACAATTTAGACAGAACCTCTTGAACAAATAACATCTTAGTGTTTTCCTAGAAAAATATAATTGCAAAAATAACTTTTGAAGTCTTTTTTTCAGTTTGGCTATAATTTCTTCAGATAACAAGAAAAAAGAAAGCCTAAAAATACTAGAAAAATAATTTTTCAATGAATATAGGACATGAATTTTCAGATCTGGTCATAACAGATAAAATTTTAAAAGTAAAAGAAAAAGCAAAGTCAACTAAATTTATTTGCTCTCATATTATACAAGATTAAGTTTAACAAATAAAGCATTAAAAAAAGTTCAAGTAAATTTGCTTGTATTCTAATAAAAAATAAATTTGTTTCAGTTGTTTTAAACTGCTTTAATCTAATTTTATTTTATTGGGGGACTTTAGAGCAAATTCCATTCTAGTTTAATTTCATTTCTATTCATTTAATTTGCATTCTAGTTTAATTTCAGTAAAAATACATACTTGAAATTGGGCATTCCGTTTAATAATTCCAGCATTAGAAATCTCAAAATGCATGAGAAAAATTTAAATTCCCACAGTCTGAAAAAAACTATAATTAATAAGAAAATTGAGTCTCTGATTAGGATAAGATTTAATTTTAATTGTTGAGGAATTTGAATAAACTTGTATTTTAATCTAGAAACCTATTACTTATGTTTTCTTTATATCTTTTATGTGTTTTTTATATATATATATTGATTTTACATCTTGTTTATTCGATCCTCTCACGGCACGGTCCCTGATGCTTAATACACAACGCAAATTTGTATTTTATCTTCATTTATATGATCACTAAAAATGTGGAAATTTAGCTAACTCTTAATAGTTTAGTTCTCAGTTGATATTTAGTTAGTTACAGTTTCACCTGTCTGTTTCTGCATTAGTTTCCTCCCTAAGAGGAAGCAGTAACACAACATTTGCCCCATGATTCTCATGGCAAAAGTATAGAAACAGAACAATATTAAGAATTAGTATATTAAATAAGTAGCTTCAAAAATTGAAGTCATTATATTAAAATGCCAATTTTCTATGAATTTTTTTGTAAAATTAGGCTTAACTGCTGAAAATGCGTGGGCTGGTGGCGTTCCATTTAAGGAATTTTGGTCCTATCACTGTGCTTCATTCTCTGCATGCTGGTCCTCAAGGGGTTAACAAACAGTCCTGAATTCTTGTATCTTCAATGCACACCCATTTATTTAGAGGACACTTTGTGATGCCAAATAAAAGGCTTGATTTCAAGAGTGTACAATTGCATATATTAATATTACAATGTTTATACTGCTGCAGATCATAAAGCATAAAATTTAAAGGAAATTTCTGAAGCAAAAACACATTACCTATGGTTATGAAACTACTAAATCCTAAAAAACTAACTACTTTACACAAAACTAATGTCAATGCAAACTCAGATCTCCTTTCTAGAACTTTTAGATTCATATACAGGACCCATTTACAAGATAAATCAATACTGTTACGGTTTTGTATTTAGTTGCTATTTTTAGCAGAATTGTAATTAAAATTGTTTCATTTCCCCGTGCAATACAGCGCATGATGAGTTTTAAGAGAAAGCTATGTCAAAAAGTAAAAATACAGGCATTTAACATTTAATAAATAGATATCTCGTAATTGTATTCTTTTGCTTTCCAGAAACCTCAAGAAAATACCAGAATGTTCTCGTGCATGATTAAAAAGCTTATAAAAGGCAGAGGGAAAACATCTCAGTTCAGTTGTTTTCTAAGTTTTTGTGGTTGATTGTAGCGAATTCACGGTGAGATCGGATTAGCTTTCTCTACTTTGAAATGTTTCTATTTATCACAACTACCATGAGATATTGTGGTATTGTACAAGAACCAAACTTACAACTAAGACAAAAATGCAATAGCAAACATTACATCACGTCCGGGTCACCAAAAACGTGTTGCGTGCATACAGGTTCTTAATGGATTAAACTCACAAGCCGATAAAAAGTTAATAAAATTTATTCTTATCCCACGAAATAAAAAAAAAAAATGCTGAAATTTCTTCACAGATATTCGTACAATATTACAGTATTTCACAGTAGTTATATTTTATACTGCTAAAATGTTAAATAGAACACAATTAAAAGTTAACAAACAAAAGGTTAAGTATAAAACAACATATTTCTTTTTTTCATTTTGCATAGATTCTTTCTTTCTGATTTCCCCTTCTTATTAAAATCAGGTCTTTTTTAACTAAAAGCATGTTTTGAAATTGTCATGACTCTTCTTTATCAGTTACTTAAAATACAAATTAAACTTTTACTGTATGAATCAGGTTTCCCACCATTAATAAAGTTATTGAAAGGCACAACATGCTCTTCCGTTCAAAATATGATCTGATTAGAGTATTTATTACACTTATTAAAAACATGAAAAATTAGTAGAAAAGCCAATAATTATGCAAAGCACTATATGTAATGTCTAAAATAAATACTTGATTTGTTGTCACATCTTTAATACTCCATTCTTGCCACTGAGGGAAAATGTTTGTGAAACACAGAGGCTCTGCCCCAGCATTAACAACAAAAGCCTTGGGTACTTCCTCAGAATTTTTTCCTATATGAAAGGAAATTTATTAACTTTGTCATTATATCAGATTTACAAAATAACTATTTTGATATCTGCATCACCCATGTAACTATAATTAATTATAAGAAATCATTAATTTATCAAAAGTCAGTTTTCTTCAAAAACTTTAAATTCTAACTACACCAAACAAATAAGAAAGCAAATTTAATTAATTAAAAACAAAAAATTTAATGGTTAACAATTAAACCTTTAAAAATAAGATTTACTAAGTTTAACCGACTTATATGTAAAGCTATATGTACAACTAAAGTACTTATGAACAACTGAAAAGTATCTGCACATGTTTCTAATATGGCTAAGCATCAACTTATGCAAAGGGTAAACAAATTTAAGCATTTGATTACAATGTATATTACTATGCTGACAACTAATATCGATTTCTAAGAGGTCACTAGAATGATAATATTTTCAAGACATTTTAATGGTTCAATTCTGAGAGAGGATACATAATTTTTTTTTAAATCTGAAGCTTTCAAATTTCATATTACGCCCAAAGGAAGGGGGATTTTGTTTTTAATCTCCAGCACGCGAAACTGCGCATCGTAAGTTCTAAAGATATGATCATTTTAAAATTACGTGATACTGCTGTTGAACTGAATTTTATGGTTTAAGTGTGAAGAAAAATAAATAAAGGTAACAAACAGAAAATGACCCATTGGGCATAATGTAAAATATGAAAACTTTTCCTTTTTTTAAACAGAGCAGATTTTTTTTTAAAATTTTATATTGTAACTAGCTAAAATAACATTACAAATAAAATCAATTTCCCCCATATATCTTTACTATTTAAAGCATTAGCACAATTACCTATTAAACAAATGTCTGAGAAAATGTTTTGTTTTATTCTTAAGCCTAGAAATATTTTCATAGATATTTCATATAAAATTATTGACAATTATGATTTGAGTAAGTGTAATCATAAAATATATTCAAGTTCCACTTTGCTTATTTATCACATTCATTAAAAAGGGTCACAAAAAGCTGTTTGACAAAAATAAAATCTCAAGTCTAAAAATTCACTGATGTATCAAATCAAAACTGTAGAAGAGTTGAAGTAAAGAACTTTAAGCTCCTGATGCCTCATTTTTTAACTAACTGGCATTAAATAGGCTACTGCATAAATGAGATTCAAAATGGATAATTTTTTAATATTTATATAATCTGACTGTCATACATCTGGAGTTAGTTTCATAACAGGATGACCTTCTGATTTCAGATGAAAGATATATATACTACTATTTTGGTATTTAAAACTTTTGTACACTAAAATACCGGGTGGCCATAATTAAACTGACAGTGAACACAGTGTTCTGTAGCATTATCTATTTGCGAGAATGACGCCACATTTTGTAGGAACATTAAACAAGATGGGGGATGAAGGATTTCGCAAAAAAAAACAAATTAGTTTCAAAAGTCACCACAAGGGGAATATTTGACGCTGTGTAATAGAAAATAGAGTGTTAACAAATGCAAATCAATACGGAAATTACCTTTTATTTTGCATTTAAATGAGATTCAATGTGGCTGCTGTTGTTGTGGACCACATATTGCATTCTGTGCACAGTATGCACAACAGCAGAAAGTAACATGTCTGCAGGAATCTCCCGTACAGTCTGTGATATGTTATACTTCAACGTAGCCAGGTCCTGGACCACTCCTTGATAGACCTTGGACTTAAGGTAACCTCATAGCCAGAAGTAGCAAGATCAGGCGACCGAGGTGGCCATGCAGTTGGAAAGTAGCGGCTAATGACTCTTTCTGTTGTGAATTTCTGTCATAGCATCTGTTGCACCCATACAGCAACGTGTGGAGGGGCTCCATCTTGCATGAAAATGATTTCCCCCAGGCATTGTCTTTGCTGAAATGCCGGAATGACAAAGCTGTTCAACATGTGGCAATATTTCTCTCTGGTAACAGAACAGGTTTCCAGTCCTGTCGGGGTAATGTTCTCATAGAAGAATGGACCTATGATAAATTCCGCTGTGAACCCACACCAAACAGTTACTTTGGTGAATGTAAGGGAATTACTGTGACTGCATGTGGTGATTTGTCATCCCAAATTCGGCTGTTCTGGGTATTCACAGTTCCATTCAGGTAAAAGTGGGCCTCGTCTCCCCATACGATTTTCCACAGCCAAGCATCATCCGCCTCCATTCTGGCAAGAAAGGTGAGAGCAAAAATCAATCACTTATCATGGTTGGGGTACAGTAACTCCTGTACACGGCTGATCTTGTACGGATAGAAGTTGATAATTTTTTGTAAGATTTTCCATACCATACTGTAAGGCATATCCATATTCCGAGCTACTCAACGAGCGCTAGAGGTGGCAGCAATATTGTCTGGTCCTCTGTCGACGACCGCCATGGCAACTGCTTCAATTGTATCCTGTGGTGCAGGTTTTTGTCCTCTGCCTGACTGAACCTTCAGAGAACCTGTTTTCTCAAACATCCCAACCATTGCTTTTAGCCCATTAACTGACACAGGACCATTACCTTTACGCATTTTTTTGTGCGTTATAAAAGCACGAAGAGCGGCTGACGCGTTGCACTGGTTGAGGTAAAAGAATTTGACCTGTAACGCACGCTCAACTAAAGAAGGAGACATTGCACATAAACTTTCAATCTGATTGATTCGAGATGTAACACATTGCCTTTTAAAACCCAAGCAGCTGGCACTGTGCGAATGGATGTAACATGAAATTTGAATAAAGAACTTCTTCTTTTGCTCAGCGTACGTGATATTGCAGATCACATGACTTTATTGGTGTTTATGTAGATTTTACACTTTTTTTTAAAAGTGTTGCCATATTGCACTTGAACTAAATCAGAAAATGTGCATAATAAAAGGTAATTTTATTCCGTATTAATTTGCATTTGTTAACACTCTATTTTCTATTACACAGCGCCAAATATTCACCTAGCAGTGAATTTTGGAACTAATTTGATTTTTCGTGGAATCCTTCATCCCCCGTCTTGTTTAATCTTCCTACAGAATGTGGCATCATTCTCGCAAACAGATCACACTACAGAACACTGTGAGCACTGTCAGTTTAATTATGGCCACCGGTACAGTAGTCTTCAAACTTCGTTGATTTAGGAAACACATAAAATTACTTTGTTGATTTAGCAGAAATTTAAAGTTACCTATATAAGTACTTTGTTGATTTAGCAGAAATTTAAAGTTACCTATATAAGTACTTTGTTGATTTAGCAGAAATTTAAAGCTACCTATATATGTAAGGTACAAGAAAATACGATAGCTGCTGTAAAAATAATTGCGGACTTCAAAATTAACGATTCTAGATTTGTTGCTCTCCTTCTAAATTCATTTGTTCTAAAAATTCGAGATCCTTCTTGATTATATAACAATTTAAAATTAATCAATCATAGCTTAGAGAAACTTCCCATATCTACTCAGCATAAATACTGCTGGCGAGTTAGTTACATCATTTTTTTGCTAGCTTTGCCATAGCTAATACTTCCCCACTGCTTCACTTCTTAAATGCCTACATCAATTCCTTTTAAAAAAACCAATGTACATAGAAATTTTTCATATTTAATTAAAATTGAATATGTGTCTGCCAAATTAATTGGATATGTGTGAAAATAAAGATTGGTGATTAGTTGGTATCCAGTTTTGTCATCTTTTGTCTCTTCTTGCCACTCTGCTATCACGACTATGCATAAAAAAAATTACATATATATACTATATATGTATATAGATATTTGTAAAACTCCTATGATTTTCAGAAATGGGATAAAAAACATTGAAAATATATCAAACTTGCACACCCTTATAATGAAAATGGAAAAAAAAATTCTCATGAACTACAGCCAACTTGCTGCTGTTCTTTCTTCAAATATATTTAAAAATGTAGAAGACACTGATATAGTTCTCCAAGAACAGGCACTTATTGCACCACTTTATCTAGGTTGGCTTTTAAAAACATTTATCAACAAGAATAAAGAAATATTAAATTGGCCACTATGGCTGCAACTACTCCTTTAGGCATTAAAACATAATTAACATCTAAATTATTCAATTTATTCCTCTCCTATACAGAGAAAAAGGCTTGGCAATAAAAAAAAGCCTTTAGGTCAATAAAAAAATGAATAGAAAAATTAAAATATGGAAAATATAAATCATAAAATACATAATTTCCAAAATAATTGCAGAATATAAACTTCGAGTAATATATATATTATTTATATTTTTCTTATAGATAGATATTATGAATAGCCACAGTTTTCAGTTCTTATTGAAACTTCTGTACAATTTGAAAAAGTCCAATAATTATGATTCTTCAGGGAAGGTTTTATTTTGCCTAGGACATATCACAATATTTACAACGTTCTTATTTTCATAAAAATGTAAGTTACATACATTTTTAACATCATATATATTGTAATATTCTATTAAAATTATAATTTCAATAATTTACTTCTCACTTTCAATTCCTAATATTATGCAGACTTTAGGCTCTACAATTCTGGAAAAAAAAAAATATTTCCATCTAAAATTGGGCTTATCCTCCTTACTGCACCACTAGTTAAGGCATGCTACAGTAGTCATTTGATGAGGCCTGTAGTCCTTGCATAAAGTTACAAACTGGCCCTTTAAGAACTGAATTATAACATTCCAAAATAAAAAAAATATTCCATAAAAAATATGTTGCATCCATTTTTAAAAATGGTAGTCTTCAACTCTTCTTGTATGAAGGAACAATTATTCAAAGGTAAAATACTCCTATGTGATTTTGAAGCAGTACTCCCTGCAACATATTCTGTCGTTAATGCATTCAGATATTCATTACATAATTATAATATTCATTCACAATTTCAGATTATTGCTTAATAAATTTCACTGTTTAAATTACATTAGCCATATTTAATTTTATTATAATTATTCAGTTTCATGAATCATTAAATATTTTCTACATTAATATTCAAAAACAATGTTTATATTATTTTCTGTACCAATATTCAAAATTATTTTCTCCATATTTTACATTTGCCTCATTCTTAAAATAATTCAAAATTATAACTATTAATGCATCAAATTTTAACCTTCCCTACCTGAAATTCTTAAATTTTTTTTTAAATTCATTGCTAAATTTATTCAACATAATTAATGAGAAATAAAACTTTTGATGTTATAAAATTTTAATTTGTTTATTTCTATAAAAAATACCATTACATATTCAAAGTTCTGGCATATATCCAGCAAAATAAATAAATTCCAAAACCAGTGAATGAAAATATCAGAAAAATTATATTTACAGATATTTTAGCTAAATTTAGATGCAAAATTTCAAGTTCCCAGCATATATTCAATCTTATATCTCTGAAAAAAACTTGACTCTATTCAATTTACACTGAGATTGGAAGAGAGAAATGTTTTGGTTATTTTAATGAATAAACATCTGTTGGAATATAATCAAAACTACAAGTACATGAATAAATAAATCACTGAAGCAGTTGAAAGCACTAATATGTTGTATTTTTAAACGCTTATTAAATTACTGATGATGATACAGCAATTTGTTTTCACCACTTCTGGAACCTAATGGTTTATGTTAAACATCGAACTAATTATATTTCTTAGAACAGCAATAAATGCAATTTTTTAAACAAATTTTGTGTTGAGAAATAATCATCTCATTGCAATAAAAACTAATTATTAAATAAAATAATGATAAATAATCAATGTCTTGCAATAAACTAATCATCTTATTACAATAAAAAATCATCTTATTGCAATAAAACTAACTATAGACAGAATGTACCCAATTATGAATTCAGTAGACAAACTTTTCATTGAAACTGGAATTTCACGAGCCAAGCCATTTTATCTTTATCAACTAATTAAAATAACTTGAAAATCATTCACATGGAAATGCATGAAAGTAGTAATTAATTGCATTAAAGATGTTACCAGTCATGACAATCTTCACATTTCTTTATTCTCGTTGACAAACATATTTAAGCCACCACAAAATGGCAAAGTAAGTACCTATTCTTGGAGAACCATATCAGTACCTTTCCTTTTTTGAAACATATTTGTGACATGTCTAAAGATGAAAATTTTCTTCATTTCACATTTAATCCCGAATGGTTAATAATAAATTTTAATCCAAAATTTAAATCATTATTGGCTGAAGCCTAATGTAAGTATCTACATCACTGATATTATGCAAGAATCATATGATGTGCATTTGAAATTATGCATTATTATAAGGAGTTATTACTTTTTAGGATTAAAAGGAGAAATCCCTAAATTAAAACAGAGAATCAAAATTAAAATTTTTATTTGCAATTTTTTTTAACTTACATACATATTTGTTTAAAGTTTTTGCACAGATTATACAGATTAATGCACTGAAACTTCTCATGGTAATCATTTCTGAAAGAGATCATTATTTCTGAGAACATAAAAATAACTCCTTTAAGATGACTACCTACATCAACCAAAAAAAAAAAGGAGGGTTAACCACAGAGAAGGTTTCTTGTACATAATAAAAATGCTCAGTTCTACAATTATGTTTCATTATGTTCTTTCAAAACTTCATAAAAAGTTACAAATTTAATTTCAAATAAAATACCTTGACAATACTGCAAAGCAGTTTCCATAACCAACCGACGATTTATATCCCACCTTAGCTTTGCAGAACCTGTTGCAAGATTTTCACTTTCCTGATCATCATTCGGCAGCCAGCCTTGCCAAACAAACACTTCATGATGGTTATCCAAAAGAAATAAAGCTTTAAAAAAATATTTTTAAGTGATTAAAACATGATATTGTAATAAATAACATAACATCTTAAAAATAATTAAAATTATAGTTTTCGTCAACCATTTAAAACTCACAATAAAATTTTTGAAGTATGGATAACAAACAGGAAAAAATAGATTTTTCCCCTCTGTATCTAATTTCCCTTTTGCTGACGAGAAAACTGATGGTGAATATTTAGACTAAAAGCAAATTAACTAAAACTAATGGCTTTATATTGCCCATCCACAATACCAATTTTGTTTGCTTATATTTTATTCTAAGACCTGAGAGACTGAGAAGAGTTTAGATTGAACCTGTCAGATTTAGTTTATAGAAATGACGGTATGGCAGACTAATAACATTAGTTTGCATTTCACAATTTAAAATTTGGGAAAATAGCAATCTTATTTTGGTGTCAATTTTGAATAAAACTCCATCCAATTTTCAGGGATCAGAAACAGGTCCTTTTGCAGTAACAATAAAAAATTTTTGCCCAATAGGGAAAGTAATGACCATATTTCTATCAAATACAATCGGCAAAGCACAGCAAACATGAATGTAGCATAACATGTCTTGTGAATACAAAAACATTTCAAAGAAATCTAATTCACCTACTGAAAAAGCTTTGCAGATAATTTTCACAGAATCAGTCAAATTGTGATTAAGTCAATTATAATGTGAGAAGTCAAATTGTAATTACAATTCCAATTAGCTGTCAAAGATTAGTTTATTTCTCCTTCTTGATATAAGATGTTGTATAATTTGAAATAATTCAGAATATTCATGTGAAAACACACATACATGCATAGAAATGCAATTTTAAATTATTTCACTACTGTAGTAAAAAGCGCAAGATTTTCTAATTCATTAAAGGTTAATTTTGCTTCACTAAATCAAGTCACATAGCTGCCTATTTGGTTTTTCAGCTTTTTTTTTTTTTTTTTTTTTTTTTTTTTTTTTTAAATAACTGCAAAGTTAAGATTGCTTTATATTTTTTTTGGGGGGAGGGGTGTTATTTTCTCGGAACTACTGCATTTATAGTTTTCTTCACTAATAATTAAGAATTCAATACAATCAGCAAAACATTTTGATGTATACAATGGCTTTTCACTCAGCGCTTTAATTATAAGATTAGAACTTGCAGCATGTATATTAACTAGTATTGGAGAATAAAAGCTGCAGGAAAAAAAAAGAAAGGTTTATGGAATGTTAGTTTCGGTAAACTGTACAGATATGCAATAAATTACCCCTAAAACCTTTACCAATATTCATCGGAGGGATTATATGACCTCCAAAGCTTCATATACAGTTTTGTGTAATGGCAATAAATAATTTTTCAGTCTGTGCAGCATCCAAGTTATTATTGCTCAAGAATGTTCTTCAGACAGACATATCACCCATAAAATTAAATGCCTTCAATAATCAGTCCATGGAGGCAAGTTAAAACAGATTCAATCAATTTTGATAATACTGGGCCTTTCTGTTTTCCCATCTTCTTTCAGCTCAAACAGCTATTAGTCTCGAGACACGATTTTGCATTATTCTACTTTTCATTTGAGTCTACTGCTACTCGAAAAAAACATAACATACAATTCTTTCATATTTAATCTGTCTTTTATTAAGAAACTTAACTTACAAGTAATAGATACATATCTTAAAAACATTATTTTTTACTTTTTAATCTGATTTATTTAAATAAAAATGGATTTAATTCATGATATATCTAAAACATTAAATATTTTTACAGAATTGCATTGTATTTTTTCACTTTTTAAATATACGGAATATCTATAACATTTCTATGTTAATCTAAATGCATAGACCTCTAATATCCTCTATTGTAATCGTTATTGAAACCCTACTGAACTTTAAAAGGGCCTTTTGGGCAACCATTAAACCCTTTTGGATTTAATTTTAAAAATTTTATTTATTGTGTTATTAATATGTAATATCTACATGACAATCAAGACACCACTGGTAATTGAGAAAATGCGAAAACCTCGATTTTTGAAAGGTGTCAATGATTTACCTCTAATTTATCATAACAGCAAGAACTTATGGATGACAAAAAAAAAAAAAAAAAAAAAGTATTTCTACATTCTTTTCAGAAATGGTACAGCGAACTGAAAAACAAACAAACAAGCCCCCCAAAAAAGCAGCTTAACTGTTAGAAAACTGTGCTGCACATCCCTCTGATTTCATTCTGGAAACTATTAAATTTGGGGTTATTCCTAAAGATACAACTTTGTCATTCAGTCTTTACACCAGTTACATATATATTATTTATCACAAAAGCTTCCAAATATCATTACAAGAAAGATGATGTTGAAAATAATAATCTTGTGAAAATGCAAACACTTCAAAAGAGATAACTAAGTTGAGATCTTTGTTAGAGGCAATGCACATTATAGTCAATATACTGAAAGTTATCACTCAAACCATAATTAAAAACCACTTTAAAAAATATGGGTTTTATTTAGGCAGCCTCAGAATTGCAAAATATTGCCTAAGTTTCAGATGTCAGTGAGGGAAGTTATGAAGATTCATTTTTAGAATACGTCCCAGTTGGCATAACATTGAGATAATAATACTGGAAAAAACTAATTTTGATATTACAGGAAGTATTAAGAGAGTTGTAAAAATTGGAATTGATGGTGATATTAACATAGAAGAAAGTGAAAACATACAAACCTCAACCGAATCTAGAAAAGCAATGCAAATTTTAAGAACTTTCGAGTTGAAATTTAGGGATCAGAGAAAGCTATCACTGGCTTTGTGAACTTCCGAATACAACTGAAAAACCATTGACGAACAATATATAACACACAGAACAGTTCATTTCTTTGTAAAAGTTCAAAATTTCATCAAGAACATAATTATAATTTTTAAAAAAATTTAATAGCATAAGTAGTTTAAATTTCGCATTGATTTTTAATTATTTTAGGTATTAATTACAAGATGAATTGATAGTTACTGTCTTACTACATAAATTTAAAGCTGATATCATAATCTCAAATCATCATGTATTGAACTCAGCAATTAATACTAACCGACATGTACTATACATCTCAAACTACACTGACAAAATAAGTTATAAATTTCCCAAAAATTAAAATCAGAGATGGAATTTTAAAGAAATGAACAGTGAATTTTATTAATAAGTGAGAAAATGATCTGAAAAAATGAACTTCTGAAGAACTGATGCAATTTGTAACTAACAGAAGGATGAAATGGAATGATGACAAAGTTCTTATTGCTATTTCTTACAGCGGAATGTCTTCTTTGATGACAAGACATGCTGAGAACAAGTTTGAAGAGTATGATATATATAAAAATAAAAAGAAGCCATTTCTAGCTTAGAAGAGTGATATGATCTAGCATGGGGAGGCAAACAGAAAAAGGTTTATTATAAACAGGGCTGCTGAAATCAAATTCACAGTAGATAGTTAGAATATCACAAAAAGGAAAGGAAATGTCAGATTCAGAAGAGAACTATGGCTGGATCGACTGATGGCTGGAATGGCTGGATCAACTGATTTCATAACACTTTAATTTGGGTTAAATTACCTTTATTACTATCAAAAAATAGGAGTACATCACCTTCATAATGAATCCAGAATTGAAAAGATAATTTTTCAAATAATTTGATGACAAAATAGTGCATATAAATGTCAACAACTACTGGACTGACAGAATTACTCAGAGCTATCTTTTAATTTGAGATACAATTATTTTTTAGAATGAAGTCGGTTTCACTCAAACTTTAATGAGAGAAACTAATGCCTAAATTCAGTATATGTGAAATGGATCTCAAAATTTATTTTCAAAACATTTTTAATGCTCCCTTTAACTAAGACATTAGCAAACAGTGGTTTAATATCAAAAGAATCAATAACTCAGTACAGTACAAAGTACGTAATTATCCGGAATCCATTATCCGGAATGATCTATAATCTGGACCTCAAAGCCACAAATTTTTCTTTTGTATGCTTTACGCATGCACGTTTAACGTATAATGGACAGTATAAGCTAGGCTAAAATTATCTTTACTGATTGAAAGGCATTTCAGTTAATGTTGCATATTGCGCTGTTCTTTAATCTTCTAATTGGATCCGGCTTATTATTTTTTGCAGACTGTTAAAGCAATCTTATAAAAATTAAGCTTGAACTTTCAATTATGTCAAAAAGAGTTTCCAATTCTGGAGCTGATAAAGGATCTACAAAGCGAAAGCATATTTCGATGTACCGCTTCCAATAGTGAAGAAAGTCACAGAAAAATTATTATTGAAATATTTATTATTATATTATTATTTATTATTATTGAAAACGAAAAAATTTCGATTCACAAGTTAGCTGGTATTCTCGACACAGCAATTACAGAACTTGAACAGTGGAACTGAACAAGAAATTATGTCTGTTTATAAAATTAAAGAGAAAGTATTAGCACAAAAAACAAAGCAATTTACACAACTTACATTGAAAGAAATGTTTAATAAAGTAAACAAATAAATATTAAGCTTTTTTTTTTTTTGTAAATTTTGATACCCTTTAGATCATAATTGCACTTTATTTCATAAATTACAGTTTCATATTTTTAATTGTATAGTTTCTGCATGACCAGATTTAAATTGATGATCTATAATCCGGAAAAAACCCTAATACAGAATCGCTGAAGTCCCGACGAGTCTGGATTACAGACTTTGTACTGTACTAGGGAGAAATATCTTTATCAATGGCTGTAAGATAATTCTTTGCAGTATAAGTAAAAAGAGAAAATATAGAAACTGGTTACTTGCCTAAAGGGTATAGGGCTGCTCTACTATGCTATTTAGAAACTATAGATGAAATGGAATTCCAACTTTGAGAATTTAGGGAAGAATATAAAACCTAGCACAGTTAGCATTAGCTGGAACAAGTGATTTCTTAAACTGGGGAGTATATGAGAAGATTTAACAGCAGCTTATATAGTTTATAGGGTCAATTGAACGATTTTTTAGGATAGAGTTGCACCGGCCTTCATTTAACAGTTTCATGATTCTATCAATTTACGTACGTGTATTTGTCCAGAATAATGGTCTGTCAGTTCTTATCAGCTTTAGAAATAATAATCTTAGGATTAAAATGAATTTCAAATAAGGCCTTTCTTTACTTTTGGTTAAAATTTGAAATAAATTTTTTTATTAAAATTAACTAACATAAGTTACATTCTTTCTCTGCTTCAGAAGTTTTACTGAATTAGGAGCTTTTTTAATAGGAGCCATGACTTGAGGAGCTGAAAATTTAGATGTTTTTGAAAAGTTGGTTATATTCAAAGCCTAGGTCAAAATTAGATTGCTGCTACCTCACATAACTTTAAATTTTACATTGATGTATTTGTCTTCCAATTTAAATTTTACATTGATGTATTTGTCTTCCAATTTGATTTGCATTTAATCTCTTAACAAGAATTTTGAGATTCAAATAATGCTTACAAAGCATATTGCGACAGTGTTTATAAATGATATACTTACTCTGCTGAGATATAGCTATTTGCTACAGAACATACAAGTTTATTTTATTGGCTATGCAGAGACTGTTTAAAAAATTAAATTTTACATTGATGTATTTGTCTTCCAATTTGATTTGCATTTAATCTCTTAACAAGAATTTTGAGATTCAAATAATGCTTACAAAGCATATTGCGACAGTGTTTATAAATGATATACTTACTCTGCTGAGATATAGCTATTTGCTATAGAACATACAAGTTTATTTTATTGGCTATGCAGAGACTGTTTAAAAAATATACATGCAGGACTATATGGAAATGACCACCCCATGAGCAGTGGTGCCCTTTTCACCAACAAAGTATTATTTTTTAAGATAAATTAAAGACAATTTCTTTTCTTTCACTTTTTTTCCCAAAGTGGAAAGTGGTTATTATAACAAAATGTGATTATAGCAAAAAGTGAACTGAAACAGAGCTAGGCAGAAATAATTTGATGAAGATTAATAAACATGCAGATAATATTTTCTGCCTTATATTAAAAGAAAAAGAATAAGCACCAGATCTGTGATCAAATAAAATTTTGATCATTTTATCATTGATAGGATTGAATAGAAAATATATTTCATGTTAGGTTGTATAAAAATGAAAGATAAAATAGTTTTTATTTATAAAATATCTAAAAGTTTAAAACTCGCATTCTGATCCTGCATGTGTATACACAACACATATAGATCCTGAATATTCAGAAATATAATTCAAAACCATATTTCAGAATAAATGGTAAAATTTCAAAACCTAATGATTTTAACAGGTATTTTTAAACAGTCAACTTCTTTCTTTTGAAACATCATTTAAAAAATATGCACAATAATGAATTCTATCATAAGACATCCAACAAATTTTTATTACCAAATTAGCTAAAGATACTTTTTTTCCATGATATATTTATACATAAACAAGCTGCAGATAAACATACTTTCCCAATTACAGAAGTTTTGTAATAACGAAAATGAAATAAACTTACCAGGCTGTGATGCATTTTTTAAGTCAGACTGCAAAAGCGGAAAGGGACAAGAATGTGTTTTTGTGAAATAAGGACAAATTATTTCTTTGGCACACATATTACCAGACATACTATCTATTAAAAATAATCTTGGAGTAAAATCATAAGAGGATTCACCTGAAAGAGAAAAATACAGAAATAATGCTAAAAAATGCATGAATAATTCAGTCATAAAAACAAATAAATTTTATTGTACTTTAGTAATTCTTTAATATGAATATAAATATAATTATTCTCAACATAATCCTTGCCGACTCAAATTATTTTCACATTTGGCAAAGGTAAAACCGTTTTGCTGAGGAATTCTACTGCCACCAGATGAAAAAAAATTCCAAATTTTTTATCCAAACACTTTAGGATGAAGTGAAAAAATTAAAGTTTGAGGTTCCAGGCACAGAATGTTGAAAGAATGGTTTTGGGAATTCTCACCTAAACTATCCCCTATTGGCATTTAATGATTTTTCTTTAAGAAAAAAGGATTCCATTCAAGTCATGATCAAGTCATTGCTATATCAAACAATTTTTATAAGATACAGGATAATTTATGGGCTGCTAACATACTTGAAATATAATGGTAATCAATATATATATATATATATATATATATATTTCTTTTTTTTTTTTTTTTAATTCTATTTCGGTTCTTTAGAGTATCTGCTTGAACTTTTTTAACTCGAAAATGTGGTTAATTTTATTCAACAGATCATCACTTACTCTCACAAATATAACTGGCCATACATACACTTATCATCTCCTGTTAATCAGAGATACCAAGAACCGGTCCTTTTCTACTATATAATGGCACTTCACTCGCAACCCAAACATTCTGCGCATGACTCAATGTAAAAAGTTAAAATTGATTACACTTTGGCAAATGAGAAAGGCCTGAGAAAGTATGACAATATGCCTGAATGCTGAAATTCACATTTTTTTTTTCCTTCTTCAGAGGCACTTTACAAAACTCTCTTGAATCTGTATACAAGAGACATTCACTTATGCCTGTAAAATTCACTCTGCCTGTAAAATAAAAAATATGCTGAAATGATTGTATTATCCTTTGAAAGCTTAAAAAGAAATCATACACAGCAGGTGTAATTATTCGATTTTTGAAAGGTTGTTATATACTGTGTGTTAATATTGAAAATATCAAATATTCTGTGGTAAATGAGTTTTTAATAAAATAAGACATAACACTGAAAAATATTCATAATTAAATGGTCACAATCTATGATGATACAGCCCTTCTTCACAACACCATCAAAAAGCCTGTGCTTTGGCAAGGGCAAACAGATCCAACCGCAGAGTAAACCGCAGAGTGAATGCGACAACCAAAGAAATGCATGTTAATGTCAAGGTAGAAAATAACTGTTTCTCAAACTGCTTTAGAAATGGGCATCAATGAAAAAAATTCTGCATGAAAAGTTGGAGGTGGTGAAGCTCTGCACCAGAAATATGCAAGATAATGATTCTTCTTGAGGTTGAGTTTGTCAGGTATCAAGCACCTCTGCTAAATATGCACCAAACCCAATGTTCCTAGCTCCATTTGTTTGGACGTCCAATTTGTTTATAAAGTCTAACAGCCCCTTAACAGAGCTTAGGTGTAACTCTTGAGCATTGAGAATACCTAAATTAATCAACATTATCAGAAGTTCATGATCAGTAGCCCGTTCCTCCAATAAATGTTTTTTAGGATGTCCCTTTATGAGACAGCCACCTTGACCCAGTAAGAGCCCCCCTGAAGGTATTACACAGGATGCTAATGTCATAAATGAAAAAACATTAAGCTGCATCTTCTCAAGAACAGCTTTCCATGACAAACAATATTATAAATTTTTGCTTATAACCACTACGACTCCAAAATGAAACTGCCGAGATTGGTATCAAGACACAGTGGATCTCTTTAACCCTGCAAGTTCAGACACCAAAATTCTGCTGGGAAGATTTTGAGCACTACTTTTTGGGATAAACAGGGACTACTGTTTATGGCTTGCAAGCCATATAATGCCAAAATAACTGGTGTTTATTATGCTACTTTGCTGACTCAACTTCAGTACGCTATAAAGCTAAAATGCCATGGCATACTTAACCAAAAAAACTGCTGTTTCTCCATGAAAACACTTCAACATACAACATTCAGATTTCCTGAATTACTGCTCAGCAACATGGATTTCAACATTTCTTCACCATCCACCATACTTATATTTAAGTGAATTCCCCCTCCCCCCGTTTCAAAAAGTCCAGCAAAATTTGCTGATTCACATTAAACTGATGATGATGATTTGAAAAATACCATTTCTGAATTGTCTGAAATCTGTGATAAACATTTTCTACTAAAATCCAGTACTTAACAGATCTACATGCTAAATGAACTGAAACAACAGGGAATTATGCAGAAAACTGAGACTATAAGTTCAAATACTTATCTTGCACAAATGTTTAATTTGTATCAAAGGCTTAAAACTTACTAAATTCCTTCACTCCCAATATATAATGAAAGGCAAACTTTTCTGAAATCACTACATAAAATAACTGCAGAGCCAGTTGTTCCTTTCAGTTCTTTATAAAAATAATAATCTTTTTATTATTTCTTTCTTTAAACATAGAAAAGTTACTAATTCAGGTTTTTTAAAACAGGGAAGCAGCATAAAGTGAACATAATGGAGGAGAATACCTGTACTGACTTATCTTGGATCATTGCATTTTCACTTGTTTATTTGTCACTACATTTATTGTTGGATATTTCAGTGGCTTAACTACAATTATATACCCTTTATATAACTAATTTTCAACTTTAGTAATTATCATCATGGCATAATTTTCATTTTAAGTCCAATGAATAAACATATCACCTAAAGTTTTAATGGTAAACCCACCAAACTATAAAATCTCTTATATCTATAATGTAATAACAATGTACAGAAAACATTTTTGAATTCTGCTAAATGAAATTACGGAAAAATATTAGATTTTTAAATGTAATGAGAATTTAATCATAAGTTATAAAAATAATTTTCCACAGATAAGCCTCTCTGAACAGGATCATTTCTTAGAATAAACAGAAACACAAGTAATGAACATCTCCTCTCTATGATGATCATTTATACAGAAAACCAAATTCATGTTGAATCATGAACATCATCTTAAGAAGTTCTTTTTCTATTGTGTATATAATATTTTTTAACATTTTACAAAAACAATACAGTTACACATTTGTTACTTAAAACTTTGTCACACATCAATGACATGAAAAATATTCTAAAATTAAGATTGCCTGAAAATAAACATGTAATAAAATAATAAAATTTTTAGTTATACAATATACTCACTGTTTAAAAGTGAAAAATATGGATCATTTTTCCCATTCAACCACTCCCAAAACTCTTCATCTTCTGATCCTTCCTCAACTTCAGTAACATCAAGTTTTGCATCTGGATGAAATTTCATCTCTGCAGGGCATCTAAAGTTTAAAATGATTAAAAATTAACAAACAGTAACAAAATTTGGACTAATAAAAAAAATACAGAGGTGAGTAGGAAATTTCATTCATGTCTAAATAACTGAAGAACACTGACAGTTACAGCTATAAACATAATGTCTAGCTATAATAAAAGGACTATGACCTATGAAATGAGATCAATTCCAATCCCTCCTACTGGCAAAATTCAGAACTTAGAATCTTGACACAAAAGTTATTATAGATGGGAAACAAATTATAAATTAGATAGCTGTACCATTGCTAAAATAGTCTGATGACTCAGAGAAATGGGAAATACTACTTGCGATCATAATTTAGACAGACCAGTAGGACCAAATACTTGTTAATAGCAGAGGATGTTTTAGCATATGTCAGACCATCCACAAAACAGTATCAGAGACATGGCATATTGCTTATCACAAGGGCCATGAATGACAAATATTGCATAAGCATATTACCCATCCTTATCATGCCACTACAGCAAGAAATGTTACAATGAGACAATAAGTGCAAATTCCACTAATGCACTTGAGTCATAAAGAAAGCTGAGGATGACACAGACATTTTCCTCCAAACTCCTTTGGATGGATGAGGCAATATTCCAATGTGAATCAGTCTGCATATTTTATTTCATTTGTTAATATCACCAAGCCAAAGCCATATTGACATAATATGTATTATTTATCCATGAACTTAAATAATTTGCATTTGTTTCTCTGTCTTTATTCTTCAAACAATGAAACAAAATATTGTGCATCAGTTTCAGCTATTTGAGACTGTGTAAATGACTTTTTATCATATCCTCATGTATAATACTTTTTTTCATACTAAATAAATTATGTTCTAAAGCTTTGTAATTGACTATTCATGTATCTGTTTACAGTATCTCGGGTAAGATCAGTAGTTCTGAATTTTACTTGCAGGCGGCACCACAAACATTCTCATTTTTCAAGGCAAATTGCATGCATAGCTACAGCTGGCTTTATTCTCCATCTATAGAGACACAAACATTATCTCCTGTTTATTCTGTACACATTTATAAATTAAATACGAGACAATTTGATAAATGTGCATAGATGTAAATATGTAGTAAATTTAATTAATTTCAAATTTAACTAATAAACACACACTTATTAGTTGAATATGAGAAATTAGTTTACTTTCTTTGGAAAAAAAATATAACAAACTTGTCGAATAAGCAAAAAAGGAGGAACTATTCATTTACATATAGAGACTAATACTAATTTGACTTACTAATTAAATCCTACTAAACTCAAATTATATATTCCTTGAGCAAATTTAAAGTTTAGTTTTTTTAAAGCAGTACCCGCTTTCCTTCTGAAGTGAAAACTTTAAATAATTACAGGCAACATGGATAGGGACATACAGTTCATAAAACAATTCAGCATAGCTTACTTTTCAACTATAGCATTCACAGAATGTAATATGTATTCTCTTGTATGGGTAGCTGATTTACATCCATGCCATATAAATATTTTTCCTGTTTTACGATTAACAAATGCAAAAGATGTCCGACTGCGTAAGCTTCCTTTAGAAAGTTTCACTTCATGAAGTACTGCTTCTGTTTTCATATCCCCACGAAGAATGAATGCTTTCCAAGGTTCTATAAATAAATATATATGTATATATATTTAAGAATAATTTAAATATTAATTAAATTTTAAAGAAATATATATATATATATATACATACTAAAAAAGAACCCAAAAACTTTGAATTTGAAAATATGAAAATGCTTTACAACTTATCTGCTGTTTTCAACAATATACTAAAAGAGAAGGAATAAATGATGAAAACATTAGGTATAATATGCTGTAATAGCATATATTATATTTCTGATTATCAAATCTAAACTAAGGTAGTATAAAATTAACTTATTCCATACAATACTTAAATTTAAAAACATTTCAATTTACATCTCAATTTGAATTTTTCAATTCCCCAAATTGAAAGTTCTTAATTCCCATATAATTACCTGGGACATAAAAAGAACTAAGTGTTTTAATAGTACCAAAACTTTCACACTGAAATGCTTCCACTTCCCTTTCTTATTAATGTAAATAGTAATCTTTCAAAGTATACCTGGCTGTTGTCCCTGAATGCTATAGCTCTTAAAAAAAATCTGATGTGTACACCACATGACTTCCTTGTACGGAATAATAAATTATACGCATTTTTTCTTGCATTTCATTTAAACTTATTGGATTGAATTAAATCTACTTTTTCGACAGCGCATAAACCACAATAGAATAAATGCACTCTTTAAAATTCACTATATTTGTTTACCATAGCAACACTCTGGTGCTAGGTTCACTTAATATTATTCACTTAATATTAGGTTCACTTAATATTATATTGTTCGTTCATATTATAACTCAGAATGCACAAAATTTATATCATTTAAAGAATTATCTTATCATTGCCACATGTTCTATTCAAATACTATAATAAAGCTAGAAAGATGCATAAAAGAAATTAAGCAAACAAAACAAAAAAGAAACAGTTTTTCACAGACGATTGAGTATTTCTCATTCAATTAATTCAGTTCTCACTTCGCGACAAGGCAAAAATACACAAAAACTCTGTATAAAAAATTACGAAGTAAATCTTAAACACTTATTTCCTCAAAAAAATTCCAGAAAGGATTAAGCATGATTTAATTTTCAATAATAAATGAAGGCATTATCTTTGTTGTTGCAAAGCTTATTCTCTCTAGAGTGGCAACAAATCTACTATTCTGCTGTTTCAAATGAAAACAAATATGTACGCCATGTTATTTAAAACGTAACTGCACTTAAACAGCTTTTAAATTGTTGATAATTGTACAAATATTGCTTCCAGATTTACGAAAGGTATAAAAACCTTAACCGGAAGATAAGAAAAACATAATTCAATCATTTTTAAAGCAAAAAATGTACAATTTACAAATATATAAGAGTAAAGAAACTGAGATCACTATGCCGAGTAACAGAGTGGATATATATATAAATATATTTATATATGTTTTGTGTGGCCGATAGCAACCAAAATACGAGGTGCACATCTACATGTTATAGCAGTCCTATATACAAAATTTCAACGTTCTGATGCTACTTGTTTTTGAGTTATGCGAGATATGTACGGACGTATGTGTGTACATTCGTTCGTACAGACACCACGAAAAATTCTCTTCAGAATTCATTTTAAAGCAGTTTTATAATTTTTTGGAGGAAAGGAGTCTTTTATTCTGTCCTTAAATACAGATATCACGCAAAAACATCGTTAAATTGCATTCGATAGCGATCAAAATGGATATTTTCATTGAAATATGCTACCTGAAGCTTTTCGCAATTACAATACTTCCTTTTTACTTCGTACAAGGAAGTAAAAACAGCATCTAGAAAATGCTCAATATTTACACAATTTATGTAACAAATATACACATATTTCTAATGTTATTTTTAAAGCTTTGGAACTAGAAGAATCTACGGATTATTTGCACTGCAAAATACTTCTAATTTACTGTGAGAGAATAATATGAATACTATCATCTAAAGAAGAAAATGAATTGCCATATAGTATCTTCCTACATGATGTGTTCTTACAGCTGGATACTTTATACATATTCCAGAAGCATCATGTTGTAGAAAATTTGCTTTCCCCTTGTATCTGCAGTGTTAAAAAGGAAAAGAAATCAAACTATACTTTATCTTCAGTAGAAGCCATATTATGCAATTGTGATTGTGGTTTTTGTCATCATAGTGCATGTGTGACATAGAATCTTGATATGCCTGTAGCAGTCAAAGGCATGAGAAGATGTAGCAGTCGATTATAATGGAATTTCCATACTACCCAGTGGCCATTATGTAGCAAGTACCTACTGATGGACTTAATGCCAAGTGAACCAGACAGACATGATGCTGGAAAGTCATCATGGTCAAGTTACCATCTATTTCTCTATAGTTCCAGAACTATCCATCTCACCCTGTTTTTCATTGCTGATTACTTACAGGTGTTCATCATTCATCCTGTTATGTTAAATCACGAAACAGCATGATGTCTGTTAGCTGAAAGGCCCTATAACTAAAGTGAGTCTTATAAAAAAAATGGTCTTTCAAAAGATGAAAGTGGATAAAACAATACAGAATTATTTAATTAATTTCTTTGAAATTGTGAATAAGCTTGAGGAAATGGGTTCTGAAATATCAGAGGAGTTTCTAGCTATTTTGCTACTGTGTAGCTTAACTGAAGAATTTTAAAATATCAGAATCAAGATAGATGTCATGATTAAATGCCCAACTTAAGCATGCTAAAAGTTACTAGAAGAGTAAAAAAAAAATTGCCAATTTAAAGCAGAAAAAACAGCTGCACTAAGATGCTTTAGTTACTATATATCATGAAAATATGAAAGTAAGCTCTATGAATGCAAAAGTCTTTGTGTATTGTAAACGCAAAGAAAAGGGCAAACTACATTGGAACATAGAAAAGATCAAAGCAAAAATGCTAATCAAGATTCCACTAAACAAAGTTATTTGCTTAGCATTGTCAAACCAATGCAAGAATTAACTGGTACAGTGTAACATAACTGGGATAATGGCTCAGGCAACTGCACACATGTGCAATGCCAAAAGTAAATTCACATCAATACAACAGAAAGTAAAATTCAGTTAGCAAATAATGAATGTGTAAATATTTAAAGTTGAAAATTATGATAGTATTAATTCAGCTGTTGTGAGGCATGGAATCCTGTTGTGATTGTAGCAGTAAAAGACATAAGCAGCAGTTAGGAATCGATTAGAGTTACATTTCAGTTGGCCAGTATTCAGACATAATGCTAAGCGGATCCAATGCACATGAAAGAGAACTGTCATGATAGTCAAGTTACCACTTGTTTCTCTCTAGCTTCAAAACTATCTATCCCACCTTATCATTCATGGCCATATGATTATATATGTGTGCTCTTCATTCATCCAGTTATATCTTAGGGTTAAAACTTAGATTCTTCACTTACATTCAGTGTTCATCACATGTACATTTCTGCTACATGACTGTCACTCGCAACACAACAAATATAAACAAAAATTAAAAAACAACTCTTTAGTCTTTGTAAATCTGTGATATAATAAAAATTATAACCTTTTATATATTGAAAACTCCAGATATCCACAATCAGTAAAGCTCTGATTTGTTTAGGTGTTCTAGTTACACAGCATATTATCCCAAGTAAGTGAAGAAATTGCTAATCATGTTTATTAATAGTATTTTTCTGCAAAATGCATTTTAAATAAATAGTGTTCCTAATTTGACCTCATTAACAAAATATATAGAATAAATTACTATATATTTTTTAAAAAGGAAGGAGGATTACTGGGACTTGGGACTATAAAAACAACATGACTAAAAGCAGTTATATTTCACAACTCAAAAAAACTTTTATTAATAAAAAAGTAGTAAATAAAAATAACATGGTTCCAAATACATGTTGAAGATGTTTACAACAGAATTCTGCAAAAATGATCTACAATAAGGGAAAGTACAGTAAAAATTAAGTTGCGCTTATTCAATTTCAGTACATACTGCATTTTTCTCTTAAATCACTTAACAAAATTTCCAGCAACTATTTTACTTATATTTATGAGCATCTATGTTAAATTTGAATCAATACATAATATATAAACCTTTAGAATTTCTAGTTTTCTCTTAAACAACTTAATTTTCAAGGAAGCAGGGAACTAAATCTAGTCTTAAAAGTGTGTTAGTTCTAGAATTATTAAAACAAACCATCATAATTCTCAGTTTCCTTTTCTGAAATTTCATCTCGGCGCCCATAGTATACAATCATTTGACCATGAAATAAATTGAGGAAACAAGGAGGTTCCTTTCCACTGATGACTCGAACCTATTTATGGAACAGTTTCAAAAGAAAAAAATGCATTGAAAACACAAGAATATACTACACATTTAAAAATAAAAAGGTACTTTTCCGTTTCGCCGGCGCAAATCTCGCCAAGCAGACTTTATTGGCGACAACATACAGTATACACATAAAAAATATTAAAAAAATGTTAGTTCTAAGAATTCTTTTTTTGAAGGCATAAACATTTTAATATCGCTTAAAATTTTATAAAAAGCCAATAAATAAAGACAATAAATTTGTAAAAAAACATTAATTTAAGAATTTTCTTAATTTAAGAAACATTAATTTATTAATTTAAGAATTAATTAAGAATTTCATACATGTGCTTTCATGGTTCACCATCCTGATTCGCCGGTTCATATCACGTGACCCCAAGCGATCTCATCTCACGCAAACTACTCTACAAAATTCTAATGCTCTCAGTAATTATCTACATTAATTTCAAGTTAAATCTTAATTTGGAACACAAGTTTATATGCAAGAAATATTTCAATTCGTACGAATAGCTTACTCAGAAATTATGTAAAACTGCAGTGCTTTACTTCGCTAATGCATTCTCATTAGAATTGAATTTAACCCTTGACTTTACCTTTTCTATATTTTCGGCTTCAGGTAAGCACTGTGATTGCATTCTAATTGACTTAATTACTGAAAATGGCCTTAGACATAAAGCTGAACTATCTGATAAAAATTCTATGCAATTATATGCCAGTATTGAAAAAAACAATCAATCTGATAAGAAAAAAGCTGCGACTTGTTTTGAAAATGAGGCGTAAAAGGTTACCAGCGAGAATATTCCGTTTGGCATCGGTTGTACCATTATTGGCAACTTTATCGCTTGCGCCGGCAAAACGGAAAAGTACCAATAAAAAATTATATTTTTAAATTCCATATTGAATTTATGTGATTTGTTAAGAACAAGATCGTTTCGTATTAGTTCAAAACCTAGTATATCCACTAAAATCAAATATTTCATATAATCTTTCAAGATTTAAAAAAACTGGGAAGAACTGTTTTTTACTTACAGGTCTTCATTTCTTGTAAAAAAAAAAACCTGAAATGCACATATAGTGATTGGGAAAAAAATTCCAACACCAAGATGGAGTTGTGCTATATAAATGAAATTTAATAATTTAAATTTATAAAAATTTAATAAGGCGTGTTTATCTATCTGAAAGATGATGCGTATTCAAATTCCCTGCTAGGTGCATAAGTGTTGCGATAGTAGCACCACTATTAACATATAAATCAGGTTTACTTTAAATATGTGCTGTAAAGTTCGTGAGCATTATTTATCATAGAGTTCTGACATAGTGAGTTGATGTTAATCAAGAATGCTTTTAAGACAAATAAACCATTATCAACTGCTCAGTTATTTGAAAGAGGTCGTCTAATAGAGCTAGCTACATGAAGGTGGATTTTCTTTCCTTGATATTGCAGAAAGACTTGGCAGGAATGTATCCACTGTGAACGATTGTTGGCAGTAGTGGTCAAGAGAAGGTACTGACTCAAGAAGAATGGGTGCCAGGTGGCCTTATGGCACTACTGAAAGGAAAGACTGCTATGTTCAGCGTATGGCTATGGCGCATTGTACTGAATCTGCTGCAGAATTTCGAGCCCAGTTGACACCACAGTGACACAGCAAACTGCTACAAGTCAGTTACTTGAAGGATAGCTCCAAGTTAGACGCCCTGCAGTGTGCATTCCACTGACTCAAAACTCTTGCCGTTTGCTATGTAAATTGTATTAAGCTAGAGCTCATTGGAGGACAGAGTGAAGATCTATTGTGTTTTCTGATGAAAGCTGGTTCTACCTTAGTGGCAATGATGGCCATGTGTTGGTTAGAAGGAGGCCAGGTGAGCACCTGCAATCAACCTGTCTGCAGCCTAGACTCGCTGGACCTATACCTGGAGTTACGGTCTAAGGAGTAATTTCATATGACAGCAGGAGTGCTCTCGTGGTTCTCACGCACCCTGACTGCAAATTTGTACACCAGTCTGGTTACTCAACCTTTTCTGCTGCCATTAATGAACAGCAGTCAAGAGGATGTTTTCCTACAGGATTACACTTGCTCTACCACTGCGATAACCCAACATACTCTACAGAGTGTTAAGATGTTACTTTGGCCTGATAGATCACCAGATCATTCTCTAATTGAGCACATATGGGACATCATTGGATGACAACTCCAGCATTATCCATAACCAGCATTAAACCTTCCTGTACTGACTGATCAAGTTCAACAGGCATGGAACTCAATCCCACAAACTAACCGACATTTGACACCTGTACAACACAATGCAAGCACATTTGCATGCTTGCATTCAAAATTCTGGTGGTTACACTGGTTATTTAATGGACCAGCATTTCATATTTGAAATGGTTCTTCTTGTGTTTGGCTCAACACTGTGATCTTGAAAAATAAATATGTTATTTAGGCAAATGCATTGACAAAATTTCATTACTCAGCATTAATTTTTTCTTGACATTTGGATTTTTTTTTGGCAGTGTATATACAATTCCTATAGATATCATTATCAATCAAAAACTATCAACACCCAAAAACTGTCAACATTTAATGCATACCCAGTTTTACCAATGACATTTCACACATAAATAATTTACTTTCCCTATTTAAACTATATAGCTCAAATTTTCTCCATTTAGATTTTCACTAAGAAAGTAAAAAAAGATAAAACATATTGATCTATTACATTTTACTGAGAATGAGAGAAACTAAGATTAAATTATGTACAATTAATTGATACACAAGAATGATGAATTTATATAAATGTATTAACAAAAGCTTAAAATATTATGAAAATTTATACTTAATTATCTTAAAGAAGACTGAGTACGAAAGTAATGAAATGGATGACATACAGAATGGTTAGATTTGGTTATTAAAACAAAATCAGTAGTAAATTTTAGAAAACCTGAAAATTTACAAAAACCTTATATCTCTAATTTTCAAGGTCGTTTAAACTGGACAACTAAAAAATGTAAAACAAAATATATCAAGATAACTGGAATTACAAATCGGATAAAATAACACACGTACATGAGGTCCTTTTCCATCATCTAGTTCAATGGTCATTAAGGCTGAAGCACCCTTCTCTGTAATAGTTGAATTCTCACCTTGCCAGAAAAAGTATGCCCAGCGTTTGCGACCAACAAAGGAATGCCTTGAAGCATCACCTTTGAGAGTCCTACCTAATATAATTGAAAATTAATCAAAATAAATACATGTGTAAAAAATATTTGACATTCTTTCAAACTGGTAACAATTTTCAACAAAATGTTCTCAAACCACAATTTTTACATCAGTGAGCTAACTTAAGATTTTGAAACAATAAAGAATCAATATATATAAATTCAAGGTATAACTTAAGGCATCTCTTTGAGACACAAAAAGTGTAATTAATATTTTTTCATTCATTCAAACAGACTGGAAGATATAGAAATGCAGATATAGATAATACATCACCAAATTTTAGGATTCAATAATCAGTTCATTCTCAGTATGTTAAAAGCTGTTTTAATTTCCATATTTTATCAAATTATTTATTTTTATAATTAATGAAATTTTACAATGAAATAGATACATAAAAATATATGTAAGACAGCATTACATGAAATAAAATTTCAGCAAAATTTCTGCACCTTGGCAGAAAAAGAGTCAATATTCAAAATATTTGAAATTTAAAGTTTATCAACAGTCCCATAAAAATTATTAATTTCACTAAAAAGAAAAAGTAGTACTAGATGCCTTTCCACTATTATATCAATGTCACACTGATTTTCAAGTGATCAATATGATACATGTATTTAAATAAGAAAAGGTGACCTAAATAACATTTTTAGTGTTATGCGCATAAAATAAGATACAACTACATGTCTTTATAGGACTAATAAAAGAATTAATGCACGGAAAAATATTTCTTTAAATTCTGTACCTATGATTCAAAAATATATTGAAAGAAGACCAGCTTCTCCTCAAAAACATAAAATGGGCATTAGCAATTTTTCTATCAAGGTAGAGATTTAAACATTTTATTTTACATAAAGCAATTTAATTATATTTTTGATGACCTGAACAATACAAATTAACACTTCTGAAATGAATTTTGGAAAACTTTTTAATTTGATATACATATCAGCATTAAATAGCAATTTTAAGAAGCATTCACCTACCTGTATTGCTTATCATATACTGCCATCGCACAACATAAGTATCACAACTGTGGAACTGTCCCCAGCTTTCTTCTGGTAAAACTTTGTAACCATATTCGGATATATGCCAGTGCTTATGAGATATTGTACTGATCCTAAAATGGCGACGTTCAGCCTCATCATGATATTCCAAACCTCTACCAATATGACTGTTTTCCAATTTCGTATCAGGTTCTTCCACTTCCTTCTCAAGCATTGTCCTGTAATCACATGGTTTGAGGTCTGAGATACTGGCAGTAGCAGCTGTATTCTGTAAAAGGTCAGAAATGAGTAAGTTTGAGGAAATCAACAAAATCTTCCATTATATATTAACATATCAATAACCCATAATGCTGTAATTAGGTAAACAAGAAAACAAACTCAAATTCTACAACCATATATTTTATTAGCATATACAGTTGAATTCTAATTTAATAATTTTATCAACTTTACTATTTATTTTATTTCCTAACAAAAGCTTAACCAAAAAAGTCACGATTTTACAGCTGTTTATTCCAAATTTATATAATGTTAATTCAAAAGTCAAACAACAAAAATCAGCGTTATATTTTCAAAATTTTCACGGGACTAGTTTCGATGGTTACCGAACCACCATCCTCAGCTGCAAAACCGCAAATGAACAAGATAGGAAACAATGATTAGATAAGGAAGTCTGGACAAGAATAAGCAAGTGGTGCCATCTGTTGATGAAACCAGAACTAAAACATAATTTCTTTAAAGGCTGAAGGCAAAGATGGATTGGAATTAGGATTGTTAACTAGAAGAGAAAGATTTTTTTTTGAATGTTAAATGCCTCTAGAAAATCCAATTCTCCAATGGAAGATGTTTTTTGAATAATTTTGGCAGCAGAAAATTGAAAGTGTGATCTTCGGACCAACAAGGTTGAGCAACAGAAAACTTCTGTGTTTCCTTTTTTCTAACATATGCCTCATGTTCCTTGATGCGAAATTTTAAGGCTCTCTTAGTTTGGCCAATGTAAATTAAACTACACTGGCAAGGACGAAAGTTAAATTTCTGCAAAATATGTGCAACTTTATAGCTAATTGATGGAAAGAAGGGAATGACAACAGAATTTTTATAATCTCCTAAAACAAGAGTGTGCCTTATAGTGTGTTGAGATGAGAATTTTTTAACTGCTTGATTAATGTTAGGTGAAAAGCCCCTGTCAATAGCTATTGGTTTTAAATAATTTAGTTCTTCATCAAGGGATAGTTTGGAGGAGCAAACTTGAAGAGCACGGAAAAACATAGGAATAAAATGAAGCTAACTTTTGTTTAGTCGGATGACATGATTTAAAGTGTAAAAGAAGACAAACCGATGATTGTTTACAGTAAACCGTAGTACTGAAGTTGGATGTGTTACGTGTGACCAGAATGTCGAGAAACGGAAGAGAATTGCAAGTCAAGTTCAAAAGTGAACAGAATAGCCGGATCAATAGAATTCATTGTTGAAAGAACTTTATTTAAATCATCTTTATTACCTTCAAACAGGGTAAAAGTATCGTCTACGTAGCGGAACCATGCCGGGATGTTTACAGTTTCAAACAATTTTGATTCATAATAATGCATGTATGTATCAGCCAGGATGGGACTGAGGGGGCTTCCCATGGCTAATCCCTCAGTTTGCTTGTAATATTTATTTTGAAAACAAAATGTGTTTGTTTCAACAGAGTGAGAGAAACTAGCTCATCAATTTCGATGCCAGAGAAATGAAATTCGCGAAGTCTGGTTTCTAGACATCTTAATGCACCCTCCACTGGAACATTGGTGAATAATGATTTTACATCAAAAGAAACCATGAGTAAATTTCAAGGAGAAATGTTTTTAACCTTTTTTACAAACTCTGTTGAACGTTTTATGGTGTAAATGTTATTATTGTCTAATAGAGTTGAAAATCTAGAAACTAAATATTTAGCTAATGGATATGAGGCAGTACCTAAATTTGATACAATAGGGCAGAAAGGAATACCACTTTCATGAATTTTGGGAAGAGCATATAATCTGGCACAATTTGCAACAGATGGGATAAGCGAATGTTTTAAATTGCTTGAAATGATCCTGTGAAAATTTTGAAAATATAACGCTGATTTTTGTTGTTTGACTTTTGAATTAATATTTATTCGACATGTTATTGTGTCTTAATTAATATAATGTTGTTTATCCATTTAGATGAATTTTGACTTAAGAATTTTTATAGCCAGTCTTTTGATGATTTGTTAAGTTAAAATTTAGTTTAACTGCAAAATGTTTTACTGATGTTTATTGAATTAAAGTAAAATAAATATTTTACTTTAATTCAAGAAACAAATATTAAATTAGAAGCCAACAAACGTTAAATTAGAACAACGCCTAACAAATATTAAATTTGAAGTCAAATAACAAAATCTTGTACCTTATCTCACTCATTTGCACTTTGGCAGGTAAGGATGGTAGTTCAGTAAAACCAACGGAACTAGTCCTGTGAAAATCTGAAAATATAATGCTGATTTTTGTTGTTTGATTTCTAAATTGTTGTTTAATAGTTTAGCCAAACATTGCAAGCACTTATGCTTTTAGAGGACTTTCTAAGAAAAAGTGGCTCATATTCACAAATCACTTTCATTAACTTTATTTTTATAAAAATTAATCGAAAACTATTCTACAGAAATATGCATTTTGATATTATATACATTATTCGCTTATTTTTTAATTAGAGGTTAAAATTTGTGATTTCAGTTACAGCTGTTTCTGGAAAACAGAAAATATAATTTTAGACATCTTTTTGAATATCAGCTTTCATTACCACCATTTCGGATTCCAAATTCATTCTAAGTAAAACTATTCTTTTTAAAATAGATTTGAAATTGTACTTTGAAATAAATTTCTGCTAACACTATAATTTTGCAATATGTTAAATTATGATATATTTTTTTTAAAGTTTTATATTTCAGACAGTTAATAAGGGTAAAAACATTCTTTAATACTCATCAGAATCAACAAGAAATAATAGCAATATTAAAATATAATTATATTTTTAACAAAAATATAATTTTGTTAGAAATATAATTTTCAACAAAATTATATTTTTTGCAGAATTAATGGCATGTGAAAATGAAAAACATTTCTAAAATCTCACACTGATATGAAATTTAAAATAGTCTTCATAGCTGCTTCTAACGTTTATTTATATGAACGGATTTTAAAAATCACATGACAACACTGATCATTATAAATAGAAAGTAAAAATGAAAAAACGACATACCTTAGTGCTATTCTCATTATATGTTTTTTGAACTATAAGAGGATGAATATTTGGCCAGTCAAAAAACTTTTCTTTAAAAAGAACTGGTTCTCGGTGTTGACTCGTTTTTAAAAAGATTGCCCATGAAGGTCGTTTAGTATCCTTGTTTTTAATTATACTATCTGAAAAAAAATATATATAAATTGAAAACAATCCACAATCAACCTTTAACAGAATTAAATTACAAAATAATTTTAAATATTTTTATGAACTAAAAAGTAAAAATTTGCTTTATAGTTTTTTAAAATATTTTTTTAAGTGACACACAAAATCATTTCATAAGAAAATTATCATAAGCATCTCATAAGAATTAGACACTAAACCAAATGATTTAAGCTTCAGAAAATAGTCTATTTTTAGGAGTAGCTTTATGTTTTAAATACTTTCTGGGGTTAACTTTTACAACCTTTTGTGTTTTATATAAATTTAACCCCTTCCAAAAAAGATGAAGAATAGGGAGAACTATCATATATAATTTTTAGTTTCATGTCTTAAGAATGATTAAAAAACTAATTAAATATATTTGATAAAATAAGTTTCTTTGCAGACGACTCAAAGTAAAATTTAATTTTTAAACTTTTTTTTAGTGTGCTGCTTGGCCAAAGTTATTATGGTCCAAAAGCCCAATTTCTTAAACTGAAATCAGGAGATCATTATATAAACATGGCTACCTTCTTAGTAAAAGATTATAATCAAATTTTGCTTAATTGAGCTGAAGACAGACGTTAAAATATTTTTATAAGGGAATACATTTTTTAACTACATGATCTTTTCTAAAATAAAATTAAATAAATAAAGGAGAGGAAATTCTTTCACTTGCATCACAGTAAATATGTATTTAACTTAAGGTGACCAGACATCCCGCTTTGGGCGGGACAGTCCCGATTTTTAACAATTTGTCCCGCATCGCACGACATTTTAAAGAAGTCCCGATTTTTGAAAGCACGACAAAATATATTCTGATATATACACTGTGCTCGTTGAAAAAGAATTTTCAAAAATTTGGCTAGAGTTTGTACGCAATCAAGTAGCTTTTTTTTTTTTTTCTTTTTTTTTTTTTTTTTTTTTTTTTTTTCAAAATGCTATAAAATTTATTGCAGATGACAAAGTTTCGGTAATCGAAGTATCAAATGAAGTTAATAATTTAAAATTTTAGTGTCAAGAGCAGTCAGAAAATAATTTCCTTCTGTTAACTTTCCGTAATAGTATAAACCAGATAGAAGAACAAGGTGCAATAAATTGTGCAGATATCATGAATCACAGTAAAAAGTTCTATAGTAACTGCAAAGATTATTTAGAAGAGTGGACAGAACATTACAATGACACTAAACATTTATTTTCATTGGGTTTACATTAAAACAAGAACTTAATTGGAATGATGTGCAAAAACCATTCGATCATATTACTCAGAATTTCCCATATAGCCAATATTTCCGAAAATGATCTCTTTAATGAGGTACCATTATTAAAAAAATATATTGATAAGGAAAAGGTTAAATCTTGGGCATCAGCAAAAATCACACTACAGAACAAATGGTTAGAAATATTTCATCATTTCGAAACAAACCATGTTCCCTACAATAATCCACTAAAAATTGTGAAATATGCTTTCTCCTTACCAGGAATAATGCTGCGACTGAACGTGTTTTTTTCTACGGAAAATAAAGTATGGACATCAGAAAAATCACAATTAAGTGTTGACACTTTAAAAGCCATTTTATATGTGAAATAAAATTCAACAAATTCTTGTGAAAAGCTTCATAACCTTTTAAACAACGACAGCAATTCAATAAAAAAAATTTCACTCAAATGAGAAGTATGTCAAACAATAAAATAATACTATACATAATTTTTAAAGTATAATATTTGTAAATTGTACTTATGTTGAAATTTAAAATATATATATATCTATATATATATATATTGCAATACTATTTTTGCGGTCTATGAAAATTTTAGTTGCTCCATGTAGACCAAATTTTTAATCAAGAATTTCCTCCCCCTTCCGGTCAATGGTGTCCCGCTTTACCAATGTTAAAATCTGGTCACCTTAATTTAACTAACAAAAAATTCCCTAAAACAGATTGCGGTTTTAGTTAATCTTAATTAAAGATATCTGGAATTATAATGCAGTAAAGATTGCACAAGATATGAAACACTACCAAAGGAAGCACTAAATGGATTAATGTCACATTCTGAGTAATTGTATCCTTGATCCCAAAGTTCTTTGGCTAATGAGACAGCAGATTTTCGAAGATCAGAAGGTGCAAGCTTTCCACACCAGATATACATCTCTGCTCCGAAGTCGAAAACATATATCTGCAAAATAATATATTGATAAGATTCTTTTAATATAAAAGATAATAGAAATTCTTCTAATAACAAATTTATGAACCTAAAAAAATATCCATACCATATCTGGCTTCAGCATCTCAATTTTTGGCACAGTACCACATAACTCATCACATGGAATTAGTTCATTTTCTCCAAGTTTATACACTGCATTTGTATTAACAATAGCAATTTCATACAACTGTCAAAAAATACATTTGTTAAAAATGTCTCATTTCATATGGTTTTTAAAATGAAAAAATCTGAAATAAAAATAATTCATGCTGTCGATACAGTACATATAAAAAATACAACTGACTCTTAAATTACCTCATCTTCATCTGGTGCACCTGCTAATCGGATGTCTTCCAACTTAATTGACAGAGTGTTAAGAAATTCTTGTTGCTGCTCTGAATGTGATTTGGTTTCTTCTTCAATGATAATAATTTCATTTTGGCCTTTAAACCTCAAATCTTTAGAGCTTTGGACCAAGCTTGCAACTTCGGCAGCCTTGAATTTAAAAAATACAAATAAATTTGAGTTTTTTTATGACAATCAGGTATTAGCTGAGTTTCAGCATATAACAATTCAAAATTTACAATTTCATTGTGATACACAAGACTAGCAGAAGATGCCAAATTTTATGCAGTTATGGATACAGAACTTCAAAATCAGAAGTCAAAATATTTCTCTTATCGAAGAGCAAAATAAACCAAAGTTTCATGTCGATTTAAGGAAAGCTTTTTTATAAGCATGTTAAGTCACTACAGTTTCCTGAAACTTGTAAAAAAAAAGCTTATTGAGTACTGCTTTACAGAAAGAATTTTATGTCAGTATTGTGGTGTCATGTTATGCCAAATTGGATAAATTCAGACTGCTGTGATGTGAATGTGGAGAACTGCATATATGACGACATCAAAAAGGCTTCTTAAAACTGAAATCAGTCCTCAAAAACATATAATCGGAGTTTGTGATCTCAGAACTATTAGTAACAATAAAGTAATAGCAGAATGCATCTCTGAATGTGACAAGCCGAAATAGCCTACACTTTTAGTTTAAAAATGCCTAACAGCATTAGTGATGAACTCTTAAAACTTATTAAGGAACAGAATCCTGAATTTATTGTGCCTGAAGAATAACAGAAAGATATTACAATTTGTTTTACTTTGAAAAAAAGTTTCAGAATATAAGAAATATCATTCTTGAAATACATCTTGCAGTGCATAAACATGTATTAACTTTACACATACTAAAGGATATGTACATGAAGCTGAAAATTTTATCATTAACAGGAGTTTCAAATGTTTGTGTCATCACAAGATTTTTGATTGCTGGAATTTCTTCGCTTATTATGACTATTCTGGTGAGCACAAGAATATGTGCAAATATTCTTGTGCTCACCAGAATTAATTGCATGTATTTCAACAGAAAGACAAAATTGCAGCCAAGAAAGTTGATGTAAACCATAAGCGTTATTCTGAAATTTGTCTCAGACATATTTTTACAGTGAATCTTTAAGATTCACAAATTTATTGGGTTATCTGGAAAATTCTGTGGTTTTTCAAATCAAAGCATGTTTTTTTTTTTAAATTATTTTGTTACTGCTGATGAGAAATGACCTTAATCGAAGCAGATGTATAAATATGGTATTTTCTGCTAGTATTGCATATTTCTAGCATCTGTTGTAACATTTCCCCCCCCAAGAGATCATTTTCATTATTATGCTCTTCTATTTAAAAAGAAGAAATAAGACTAGTCAGACTGCTCATAAAATGTGTGTTGGATATGAACAAAGTGCTGTTTCTGATGACATACTTTGAAGGTGTTTTGAGAAATGCAGAAATTTCAGCCCTAAAATTATGCCCCACTCTGTACGACCATTCTCTGTAAACAAGGACCTCTTAAAAGAGCCTATCTCTGAAAATCCATATTATACAGTTCAGGAACTATCAGACAGACTACATATTATAAAAATACGTTCTTTTTACCTTTTAAACATCATTGCAAGCAGATAGAAACTGGAAATTGAAACTATCACTTCAGTAGACATTAAGAATTAATATTTGTTTTGCATACAATCATCATGGCATAGAAAAGAAAGATTTTTTAACTAAAGATCTTTAGATTTACCATTTGATATTAATATTAGTATTAAAAAGTGTTATTGAAAGTTATTCTATTCAAAGAAGCTTTTATCTAGGAGAAATGAAAGGGATGCTTCCACCTTGTAATTCTGAGCATAAAAAAAAATGTATTTCCTTATATTAACCACAGACTATTTTTCAAGTATTTCTTCTTAATAAATTTTAAAGTGTCTTAATTTTTATCTGGTCATGGTAAATTTGCAAATTATTTGTTTTGTTTCAATCTACGATCAAATAACTTGTTTTATTGTTCAAAAAAATCTTCGAGATGTGGAACATTTAATTTTTTCCTGTCCTGCTCTTAACTGCCCAAGATTATGCCTCAGAATGATTTTAAAAAGCTAGGTGTTACATAGCCAGTAAACTTATCTCTTTTTGTAAAGCCTAGACAGCTGTTCTCTGCTTTTGTTTGTTTTATTAATGTGCATAATGTTGAATTAACTTACTTTTGTAAGCTATGTGTTTTGTACATTTGTGCAGCACAGAGAGTTTGTGTGTGTTCTAATGAGAGAGGGAAGCTATCATATACCTGGCTTGAATTAAGTATATTCTCATGAAAAAATAAAATATATCAAAAGTAAAATTTGTCACCAAAATACTAGGGGGAAAACTTTCATCATTACCATAAAATTTCTTTTAAATATATTTGGAAGTTTTTCACTATATGATAAAATTACATAAATTTCAATTATTAGTTATAGTGTTAATTATTTTGGAAGGGTTATTAAATTAAAAAAGAAAAAAGAATTTAATTAAAAGAGTCATGAAACTTTCCTATATCCAACAAAAAGGAGGAGGGAGAGAATTTTTAAATTTTACATGGTAAAAAACTGGAAATTTAATGCCAAAATAAAATTAGCCTTCATTGAGTAATTAGAAAAGAAGTAACTCGCTTTGCTGCTGTAAGGAGTTATGAAAAGATAAAACAAACCTTAAAGACCTTACTTAAAATAATTTAGAATCATTAGATAATCATTTTGAAAATGGCACAAAATGTGTTATCTTATACTTATCTGCCAAAAAAAACAGTTATTAAAAATTTGCTTGCTCAACGTAACATTATGCTTGGAAAAAAGTTTCCATTTGCATGCTGATATGCAACAATTACAATGGCTCTTCTATTTACAAACCTACAGCTTAAAAACCACATGTTTTTACGAACCCAGCCTTTGGCCATAAAATGTTAGTGGTCTTTTCAAATCATTTTCTTTTACAAACATTTTTTGCAATGCTTATGGGTTGTAAAAATCAAAAATCTACTTCATTTATATTTGGTACTTTCAATATTATCAATTATCAGTTCACCTTTAAAGAACAAATAAAAAAGCCCCTCCCTCCAAAAAAATCGTAATTATTAATGAAAAGAAAAACTTAGAAATAGTTGATAGGAAAAGCAATCTTCAAAAATAAGGGAAAAATAAAAGTAAACTTCTTCCAATTACAATTTGCTTGGAATAAATGCCCAGGTTGAAATTACTTTAATTTTATTCTAAAAGTTAAATCCATACTCCAATCTTCATACAAATCCCATCCAATCTTCATAAATCCCCAAATCCAATCTTCATATAAAATGAAATGTTTCATGTTCAATGAAAATATATATCATACTTTAAATATTACTAATTTACTTCACACAAAGGAGAAGGCTGCTTCATATTGATTATTGATGTTGACTGTCAAGGGCAGGCACCAGAACTAGTGTGGCCCCACAAGGTGGCAGAATTTAAAAGCAGTAAAGACTGCACCAGCCAACAGAAAAACCCTAGTGACAGCCCAGTCTATAATGAACTATTCACATTTAAATATAATCAACGTTTTAGTATCATTCAAGTAATATATAGATTTCATTCTTAAAACTTAAATGTACGATACTAATGCTTTCAAATAATTTAAATAACAATACATAGTGGCTAATTTCAATAACATACATCATAGTGGCCTGAACCTAAAACCAAACACATACTGCATGATGAGATTTTAATCAAATTTTTTAAAACTTGCCACCAATTTAAATAAATGCAACTCTATATCATTCTTTTTATTTTAATTAAACATGCATTATAAAATTTAATTCCTTTACTATACATACATAAATCAAAAGCACATACTGAAAAATTTATAAACAGATTACCACATCATCTTACCTTAACTCTTTCAATTACATTGCTCAGTTCTCCATGCCAGCAATAAACTTGAGTTGGTGTAACAAGGACATAACTGTCTCCATGATTCAATGATGATCCTTTGGGCTCTACTAACCTAACTTGAGCTTTTCTACGTCCTTTAGCATTAAAAGAAAGAAAAAAAAATTTTTTTTTAAATATAAGCTTTAACTATTAAAAAAACACTGTATGTGATGCTAATGAAGCATTTTTGTACATGCATTTTCATTATTCCTTTTTATCACAAATATCACTCCACATGCAGAAATTATTGCACAGAAAAACTTACATTTATTCCAGTCTGCTATTATGATTTGTCATTACTTTTTTTAAATTTCTGGCACTAAATTTTCCTATCAGTATATAAGCACTGTAGATTTGAAGAATAGGATAAAGAATATAAGATACTTATTTTCTGTAGCGGCTTTGATGAAAGAAGCATTTAGGCAATTTAGGCTTAAGAAAGTGTGATTTATTGCCATATGCTACAAGTATGCATGAAAACAAAATTGGCTATTGACTACGATAAACAATATCTGCAATACACAATTGGAATTAAATATAAATTTTTATTTATTATTATATTTTATACAATTTTGTCAACAATTTATTTAGAATAACATAATTCAACAAGACCTATTTAATATATACATATAGAAGGAATTTAATATAAAATTTTAATTATAATATTAATACAATTTTATCAATAATTTATTTAAAATAACATAATTCAATAAGACTTTATACATTAATTATAGTATTTAACATAATTATATAAGCAATTTATTTAGGTTGGTTGGTTGGTTGACTTTTAATGGCATAAAATCTTAAAGGTTATTATGCACCAGACGAATGGTGAAAAAATTCAAAATGCACAAACACACTGTATCAGATGAATTCTTGAAATGAAACTGTAATGCTGATGAAGGCATAGAGAAATGATGCTCTAGCAAAGGTAAAGCAGGATAAAAGGAAAAAACTTCAAATCATATGGTAACAATTTATTTAAAGCAACAACATAGATAAAAATTACCATAAATCAGAAGGATTATTAAACATGCAAGATAAATCTACTTATTCATTAATTCAATATAAATTTGTTAGTGATTTATTAATATATATGGTTACAAGGTTGCATAGATATTCTTTGTCAGTTTTCGTTCAGGGGGACTGAATTCCAAATGCAATAGTGCCTCTTTCACACCAGAGGAGAAATTCTTGTACAATGAGGTCCCATTGTTAATTATTCTGGTTTCAGCCTACAAGGTCATTCCAAGAGTTTCAGAGATAAAGAAGTCTTTCACTGGGGTCAGAATGTGGACATTATTGTTATGTACAAGGGGGGAATTCTGCATCCCCCCCAGGTTTAGCAGAGGCAATAACACCATGAATGAATAAAGTTTTAGCAGAGAGAAAGAAAGGTGGTTTTCTGAGAAGAGCCAGGACCTTCCTGCTGGGGCTACAGACATTTTGGCCTCCTAGAACTATGACTCCTCACATATACTGTTGACCGCACACATTCCTGTTTAACAAATTTCTGAAATTACAGGACTGAATATATCTAAGTCCCACATCATCATGAACCGCACCTGTTAATTTTTTATTTTATTAAAATTCATGTTATTGTTAGAACCTGAGTTAAAAGTTCATTTTAAGCCTGGATTACAAAAGGGGCTCTGTGTAGCAGATTCGGCAGCTACACCACAATATATATAAACATACCAAAAAATTCATTTTTTATAGACTCATTTTGGTGCCTACAGTTTAGAAATTGCTGATAATAATAGCTCGAACATTAACCATAGCTTCTTTTTCGGCTGAAGGAAAATTGAACATAATAAGTATTTTACAATGAAAAACTGCTGACTGATAAAATGAAAAATCAGATCACTAATCATTTGCCTATCGCACATGCACTAATCAGTAACTGTTTGTTTCTCACACATGCACAGATCAGTAACCGTTTGTTTCTCAACAATGCAGAAACACGCCACATCAACATTCTCACCGAGGCCACAACAGAAGATAAGAACCGAATAGGAATGACTTTTGTATAAGCAACTATTTTTTGTAAGCAAAATACGATGAACCCTCTCTAAGATGATCATCCTCAGTTCTACTGATTCCTGAACTTTTATGGAAATAGTAATATTTATTAATGTTCTTAAAAAGGCAAGTCACTTTCAGAAGAGATTGTTTTAGGGAGATGGTTATCACAAAAGGTTTCAGTGCCCTTTTCAAGATATTGCACTGTAAGTTTTGAGGATTTATAAGTACACTGCTTGCTCTCATTCTTAACTTTCTGATACACAGCTTGATATATAATACAGCAATAAGAAAAACATTCTGTCAACCTCAAATCTACCAACATATGTAATTTGCGCAATTTCTTAAATATAAATGGCGACGTTTTCAGTTAATATGATTGAAAAATCTACAATATTTTTGAATTAAGAACTTAGAAATAATACTGTAGTTACTAAATTATTAAGTTTACTATCCTTAGTAGTTTAGTAAACAATGTTAGGAAGGGAAATGTGAATGTGACCAAAGGGAAATTTGAATCACAGAAAATATTTTCTATTCATTATGCCTCACAGAGATGAAACAAATTATGCTAAAGTGAAGAAGTTCAAAACATTAAAATAACATACTACATGATTCTACACTAAAAACGACAGCTAACAGCTAAAAACTAACTGAGCAGAATTAAGGCAATTGGAATTTTTAACTTCATTATTATAAGAGCTAAATTATCTTTTCTAATCTTTTGATTTAATTTAATGATTCCTTTAGGACTAACTAAAATATGTACAAACTTCACTCTTAAGCTGTACAGATTTGTGATTTCCTATTGTGTTACAAAGAAATAATTTCAATAAACAGAAAATGAAAAAAACTTTACCATACTTAATGAATTCTGCAAACTAAGATATAATTTATTTTTCTGCTCCTAATTTACCTAAATGTATTTATTATTGGTTAAAAACCAGTTCTTTTGTTCTCCATAGCAACTACATTCTATTCATGATTATTTCTAAAAGTGACCAGTATCTTTGATAACTTTAATAAACATTTGTATTAGACAATTTCTTTATTAAAATCATCTACAAATGATCAAATTATCTGGAATAATTGGAGGTGGTCTTATTTCATGGCACAGCATTTTTAAAAGTACATTTTAAATCGTTACAAAGCTAACTTTATTTTATGTCATATAACAATTACAGATATACATATACTGGCCAATAAAATAGAAACCCTAAATCAATATTTTATTGGACCAACTTTTGCCTGGATAACTGCTCTGAATCGTTTGGGCATCGAGTCTACATGCTCCTGGAGTGCATTTATGTCCAGAGAATAAAATGCATTGTCTATGCAACTTTTTAGATCTTGTAAACTAGATGGAAGAGGAGATTGATGTTGGATACATCTTTCTACCATATCCCACATATTTTCCATGGGGTTAAAATCCAGGCAATGTGGTGGCCAGGGAAGGTGTTGGAAATCAGACTAATGTTCAGCAAACCAATTTTGAACACTTCTGCCACGAGGTATAGTTGCATTATCATCCATGAAGTATCCATCGCCATCACGATAAAATACAGCACTGCAGAATGCACTTGATCTGCCAGTAATCTCATGGCTGTTTGTTTACCCTCGAGGAACACCATGGCAGCAGAACCAGGGCTTCCATGCCAGCAGAACATACTCCCACCAGACCCTTGTACAGTGTGAGTAAGGCAAGATGGATTCAGTGCTTCATGGGATTCTCGCCAAATTCAACATCTTTTACCAATTTAAAATAAGGTATAGCATGGCTTATCCGATCACATTACTTGTTTCCAATCCTTAAATGTTCAGTGTTTTCTTACCCGACATAACTGCAAACGAATTCTTGAATGTTGGGCAGAAATGAGTGGTTTTCTCACAGGCACCCGACTATGCATTCTTATTCTATGCAATTCTTTACATATAGTTCAAACCGAAATCTGTTGGGAAGAGCCTTGGTTGATGATCTGTGTCAATTGAAGCACAGTAGAGTCCCTATTCTGCCATATAATTCATCGAAGAAAACGCTAATCATTCTCTTGGAAAACTGCGCCTGAACCGCAGTTACGTCTTCTAGAGGAGTTACGTCTTCTAGGACGGATGGTTCTGATTACAACTTTTGAAAACCTTTGACACAGCTGCTTTTGAGAACCCAGTGAGATTTGCTGTTTTCGAAATCGAGGCCCCTGCTAAACAGGCACCCACAATAAGCCCCTTTTTGTCCCTTTTGAAAGATTTGTTGTTTTTCCCAATTTACTTCTTTCATCGTAAAAAGCACTCTTACACTTTACTTATACTAGCATTCTAACCACGTCATAAAAAAAATTTGCATACTTCATCCCTAGCATGCAGTCAAATGAAAATCTCAAAGGTTTCTAATTCATTGGCCAGTGTGTGTATGTATTAGAGATCATACTAAATATACATAAAGAAATGCATTTAAAAAAAAGAACTTTTCTTAAAGGAAATGTTTTCAATTACCTGTGGGAAAATAGCTCTTATTTTGAAAATAATATAGAAAATTTGGTTTTCCTGTAAAATTTAACTATAAATGCCTGAATTATTTATATGGAATTAAACTTTATAAATGCTTGTTAAACAGCTTTTTATGAAATTTCGATCCAATTTTATTCTTCTCTTTCTCCTCCTCTATGTATAATACACGCTTAATAAATTAATTTATGTTAAACTTCTGTAATTTAGGACTTTTATAAATTCGATTCTAATATGAAAACAACCTATAATGTAATGGGGAAAAAAAAAAAAAAAAAAACTTATTCTCTAACATGATATTGTACAAAATAACTATTTTAAATTCCTTTAATATTTTTTCAACAAGAATGTTCAGAGTAACAGGTACTTTCTAAACAGCTTTTAGTAAAATTGTTAATTCAAAAATTAATTTTAAAAACTTCCTATTGTATTTTTAAAGTTATACAACAATATTGTTCTGTTCTACGGGTTCGTGGATTTGAAGTAATTGATGGTGACACTTGATGAAGAATCAAAAACACAATTTATTCACCAGCATTACACAGGACAGTTCCAAAAACAAGTTTACAATTGTCAAAAACACAATAAACACGCTAAAACATTCAGGCCTTCAGAATATAACTGTGAAGACAGCTTCATAGCAAAGCACTAAAGTACAGCTATCAAATTGGTCGATCGCTTTCAAGCTAATCTCTAAACTTAAGACACTGCTACTACACTCAAGATACTACTACTACACTAACTGAATTCAAGGTACTCCTACTCCACGTACAGGCAAGGCATATATAGCTTTAACCTACCTTCGAGAATATGCTTGGGAAACCCACTAAGAATGCATACTAGAATGTTCTCGCTCTGTCTATGGCATATTGCCAATTTTGTCACCAAATGAGGTATTTCATGTCAAATCAGGCAACCCTGCCACTTTCTGGCAACCCTAACCTGGCTTTGTAAAGAAGCTATCTTATGGCAGCTGGACATTTCATAACGATATTAATATTTATATGAAAATTAGTAATTCCATTATATTTACCTTTTACTTGTATAAGATAAATGGAATTTTCTGGAGCAGTTTCAGTGCTGGAACTTTTCTTCAGAGCAACTGATTTAAAATCTTCTGTGCTAGCTAACCCAGCTAAGGCTGATAACGCTAGATTAGAACTTTTTGCTACTGCAAAGTGAGAGACAGAGAGGAAAAAAAATAAATGTTTCATCTACTTCAAGTTTAAAAATGCTAGTTATATATAAAATCTAGTCTGTGAAGCAATAATTATTTAAAAATAGATGTATAAATCCTATTTTTTAAAACAGCATTTAAAAACATCAAAATTATGAATATGCATGACATTCATGTCAAATTTTGACATGGGACCTTGGACGCTTCCTGTTGATTATAGACTTGATTATTAGCAGAAATAAAGCAGAACAGTTATGCTACAGTAATCATAAAAATAAAACAAAGGACTTCATTTTTTCAAAATTCTATGAATAAATCCATGTCTAGGAACATTCTATCAAAGATTTAACAGAAATTAATATCTCCATAAAAATAAGAAATGTAGAAAAATATTTTAAAATTCTTTAGTAAATTATACAGGTTCAGATTAATTTAAAATTTATGGTTTCCTTATTTGCATAACATACTAAATGAATTTTAATAAGAGTTCATAAATTCTAAAACACAACTGATGAATCAAAAGAACCTGTTATTGAAAAAGAAGTCGAAATTGTTGATACACGAAACATATATAAATTATAAAAGAGATATTTAAAAAAAAAGCATGATTTCTTTTAAGAGCTTTTCTAATCTTTTGACATTTCAGTGTTACATATATATCTCCCAAAAATGATTTTCTTTAAACAAGTGTCTTAAATACATCCTTCAGATTAAATAATTTTTCTAGAATCTTCCACTGGTAGCTCATCCAGTAACAAAGAAGATATATTTCAGATGACTTTAATCGTTTGAGGAATTGGTCATCTTAAAGAGGTGATGTTTAATACTAATGTTTATGTTCTCAGAAATACTGATCAATTTCAGAGGTGGTCATCACAAAAGAGTTCACTGTATTTTATCATGAAATACATCAAAATATTCATCTTTTCCAGCACATATTTTGTGAAACCCTTTAATTAAGTGACTTAAAAAACTGGGAAAAAAAATTGCTTCAAAAACAACTACTCTGGTAGTCAGATGGAACTCTTTCCCCCCCCCCCCCCCTAATGAATATCTGGCATTTATGACAAATTACCTTACTCTCTCCTTTTTTTTTTTTTTTTTTTTTTTTTTTTTTAAGAATATTGAAGTATTAATCAACCACAAAGAGCTGATACAATTATAGTACGGCAGCCATTCGGAAGTCACTAAAATAGTGCCTAAAAATAACTATATACAGTCAAAAGTCGTTAATCCGGACTCGTCCGGACTTCGCCGATTCCGGATTATCGATTTTTCCGGATTATGGATCATCAGTTTAAATCTGGTAAGATGGCATGCAGAAATTATAAAATTAAAAATATGAAACCGTAATTTATGAAATAAAGAACAATTATGATCTAAAGGGTATCAAAATTTACAAAAAAAAAAAAGCTTAATATTTATTTGTTTACTTTATTGAACATTTCTTTCAATGTAAGTTGTTTAAGTTGCTTCGTTTTATGTGATAATACTTTCTCTAAAAACAGACATAATTTCTTGTTCAGTTACAAAGTTCCGCTGTTCAAGTCCTATAATTACTGTGTCGAGAATACCGACTAATTTGTCAATCAAAATTTTTTCGTTTCCAATAACCTCTGCATCACTTTCTTCACTATCGGCAGCGAATTATAATGACGAGGAATTTGGTTTAAATCATATCAAAGACGGAGTACATCGAGATGAAATACTACATTTAGTAAGGAATTATAAGCCAAATAAAATAAAAACATCTGCCCTGAAGATAAGGATAGTGCTGACAGATCAAATTCATTGCGCGCCACGGCGTTTCCTCCCCCTTCCCCGCCGCAAAGCAGCATGAAATTGATAAACAGATTTCGGAATGGTTAGAAAAACAAAGGATATGCCTTTATCCATTTTTTGCAGCAATTCCACTTTTTGTTTCATGGACTTCAAAACATACTTTCGCTTTGTAGATCCTTTACATATTAGTAAATATATATCGGAAATTCTATTTGACATAATCGAAAGTTCAAGCTTACTTTTATAAAATTGCTCTAACAGTCTGCAAAAAATAATAAGCCGGATCCAATTCGAAGATTAAGGAACAACGCAATCTGCACCATTAACTGAATTAGATAATTTTAGCTTAGCTTATACCGTCCGTTATACGAGGGCCATCCAGGAAGTAGATTACGTTTCCGTCTGTGTCCGCTAGGGGCGGGGCTAGCGCGGCCATCTTGGGGTCAGAGCGTTGCGCAGCTCAGTCTGCATCTAGCCGTGCTAGTGAGAGGTTCGTGCTGTGCTCCGTTCAGATACTGTGACGGTTTGAAATGTCTGCGTTAATTGAAAATCCCGCGAGCTGCGAGGTGCGCTCAGTAATAAGGTTTCTGACTGCAAAAAACTGTAAACCGATAGAAATCTATCGGCAGCTTCGTGAAGTGTATGGGGACAACATTATCACTGAAGGTGGAGTGCGTCAGTGGGTCATAAGATTTCAAAATGGCCGAACCAATGTTCACGACGAAGATCGAAGTGGGAAGACCCAGCATAGTGACCGCCGAACTTCTCGAAAAAGTCGATGCTAAAGTCCGTGAAAATCGAAATTTCACAATAACGGAACTTTCTTTGAGTTTTCCACAAATTTCGCGAAGTTTGTTGCACGAAGATCATCAGCGAAAAGCTTGGTTACCACAAGTTTTGTGCAAGATGGAAGGCAAGAATAGGTAACGAAGTGGTTGAAGGCGCAGGCGGCCGAATTTTTCGACGAAGGAATTTCCAAGCTCGTACATCGCTACGATAAATGCCTTAATTTGTATGGTGACTATGTAGAAAAGTAGTATTTGAGTGTGGCTTTCATCTGTATATAATAAAATTTGTTTCCTATACTTTGTTTATTTTTTTATTCCAAAACGTAATCTACTTTCTGGATAGCCCTCGTACATTAAACGCGCATGTGTAAACGTATTATGCACATGCGCACACGCATATTCGTAGCCGTAAAGGTCTTACGCGCATGCGTCACTGCGGCGCATGCGCAGAAAGTTTGTAGCTTCGAGGTCCGGATTATAGATCATTCCAGATTATGGGTGTCCGAATTAATGACTTTTGACTGTATTCTTAAACATTATATATTCTTAAATTTAAAAGGATATATATTAAACACATACACACATTATTATTATTAGCATTATTAATGAATGAAAGTCTTTTTTTATATAACTAGCTATATTATTCAGTACTTAATAAAGAAGGGCGAGTTCTACATAGAGTTTCTACATCCCCCCTTCCAAAACAGGAAGTGAGGAGCGATGACATAGTCATGTTGACACTGACTGCAAAGATGCAATTCGCAACACAGAAATAACAGTGTTAAATTTGCAAAAACAGCCTTAAAAAACTGTTTGTGAGAAAATAGCTTTAATTTAGAAGAGAAAATGTTATTACTGTAATCATTTATGGTTAAAAAGTTAATAATTTATTAATTTTAAAATAATAAGATAAAATATAGTACATTTTCTTAAAAGTTGCAGTTTTCTTCTCTCCTGTGCATTTATTATTAGATCATGAAGAAAAAAAGTACAACATTCATTATCTTTTCTTCATCTGCATTCTAAGTGGAAAAATTCTATTACTCTTTCTAAGATGACTATAACAACAGCTCTTTAAAGTTTAAGAGGAGGGGGACCTTAACTTGGCATAGTTTTAAATATATATGTCAATTTTCTTTTTTGCAGCTAAAGCAGAGGAACTTATTTTGACTGCCCTTAAAATCGACAGTGTTATTTAAAATTCAATCTAAGATTGCTTTTTTGACCTAAATATAAATTTTACATTGGCGTGTTTCTCTTCCGATTTGATATGTTAACAGCTTTTTCAAAATAATTGGTCTAACTTATACTCACACTTATACATATACATTACATTTAAATAAATACAAGATAGTTGTCTTAAGTTTGAGAAAACAACTTTGCTCACATAGTCTAAAGAGAATTATTTAATCTTTCAAAAGTGGGACAAAGGAGGAAGATCTTTTTATGGGAAATTACTTCGATGTTTTATACAATTATAAATTACCTAAAATGCTGAGCTAACTTTTTTTTTTATAAATTATCAATGCACTCTTGTTTATTTTTACAGTTAGGGTATTCAGCAGTATTTATATCATCATTTGTGAGTTCTATTTTAAAGTCATTTATGTCTGATTTATTATTCCTGTCATCAATTTCATAATTGGCTTCAAAATGAATTTTCTTCAAATTTAATTTGTGTACTCTTTCAAAAGTACTTTGCATTATTTCTCTTTTCTTTGCAAAGTTTCTTTGCAAAAAATTTTTTTTTTTTTTTCTCTAAAATTACTTTTACCTTTCGACATAGTCTCCTTGTAAGTTTCTACATTTCTCCCAGCGATGCTCCCATCCTTTTAATGTATCCAAATAATATGTGGAATCTTTCTCTGCAAAATAGTTACTAAGGAAGTTCATAACCTCCTCATTTGGCGAAAATCTTTGTCCACCAAATGCTTCTTTTAGCTTAGGGAACAAACAAACAAAAAAAAAAAAAAGTCACTTGGGGCCAGGTCTGGTGAGTAGGGCGAGTGCAAGCAGTTCAAACCGTAATTCGTGGATTTCGTAATTTCGCCATCGCAACTGCTGAGATGTGAGATGGAGCATTGTCTTGTTGAAACAATTTTTTTTTTTTTCTTTTGAAAATGTGTCTGTTTTCTGCAATTTCTGCCTTCAGCTTGTCAAGTAGTGTTGCATAATATGCTCCAGTAATGGTTTTTTCCTTTTCAAGATCATCCTTTAAGACAATTCCATGGCTACCCCAGAAAACCGTCACCATCACTTTCCCAGCAGAAGAAACATCTTTTGCCTTTTTTGGAGCAGATTCTCCCTTTGCCATCCACTATTTTGACTATGTTTTTATTTCTATGTTGTAATGATGAATCCAGATTTCATCTACAGCAGCGGTTCTCAACTGGTGGTATTCAAGAGAAGAATAGGTGGTACATAAAGAAGCAAAGTATTTTTAACTATTAAATTCAAAAGTTAAAACCCCAACATTCTGATTGAGTTTTTTTCTCTAACACTCGTAAATTTATGCGATCTGAACTTTGTTCAAGAGTGGTGGTGGTAGTAGTACTTTGTAGTGGTGGTACTAAAGGTTTTCAATTTTTGTTTAGATGGTGCATGTTAATCAAAAGCTTGAGAACCGATGATCTACAGTGATTAATCATAGAAGAAACTCTGATTTATTATACCTGAATTGCCCCAACAGATGAGTGCAAATGTTCATTCAAACACGTTTTTGTCCAAAGTAAACAAATGCAGCACCCAATGTGCAGCCAGCTTGCACATACCTAAATCTTGGTTCAAAATGTGGCAAATGCATTCATTTGACATGCTCATAGCCTCTGCTATCTCTCTAACCTTGACTCAACAGTCGTCTAGTACCATTTGCGGATTTTAGAGATGTTTTCGTCAACGAATGCAGTTTTTGGCCGTCCTGAACGTTATCGTCACCCAAGCTGGTACAGCCACATTTAAATTCAATTGCCGAAATTTCACAGAAGTAAATGATGGTGCAGTGTCCCTGTACATAGCGTCCAACTCCTCTTTAATATATGTAGGCATATTACCTTTCAAAAACAAGTACCCAATGACAGCTCAATACTTGAATTTTTTCCATTTTTACAAAAACAGTCACACCAACTCACAGAAATAATTGTCAAACAAAAACCTCGCATTCAAAATGGCTGTAATTGGGATTAGGGATTTTCCAAGAATGCACAACCACGTTCCCATAGTTTCATTGATTAGTGTTGCCATCTACATATCGAGCTCAGAAACTTTTCAGACAGCCCTCGTAGAAAATGTTCAGTGCAAATTCTTGCATCTTTCACATTAATATAATCCCGTCTTTGATATATGTATCCATTTTTTTCACCAAAAGCAAACTGTCCTTTGGAAAAATATGAAATACAATATCCCTATATTTCTCATTGCTATGAATTTTATGGCACTTTGCTGTAATGCGAGAAGACATATTATATAAACGATACTTTACAACAGTGGTTTGGAACTTGCATTGCATACGGACGGGCCAGTGCACAATTTGAAAGCAGCTGACGGGCAGCAATTAAAAAAAAAAAAAAAATATTTGTTAATTGAATTTAAAACATATTACTAGATACTTTTAAAAAATATGAATAAAAATAATGCAAATAAAAATATCAAATTTATACTTATATTGTGCTGGAAATCTAAAAGTTCGTATACGCAAGAAATTTATGTTGGTTACAATTTTGGAATTCAAAAAAAGGGCTAAATAAAAACTTTTAATTAAAATCTGACAGCTAAATATTAAAATTTTTAGACTAGCATTTAATCAACTAATTGTAATATACTGAACTATTAAGTGACATACTTTAAATTTAAACTATACAGAAATACACAAAAGCTTCCCATGAGAGATAAAACTTGAAAATATATAATGACAACTTACTCTCTTTCTTTTATTTATCAGACTTTTCTGTGATGCAAAACAAAAAAAAAAAATAATATTTCTACGTAAATTAGTGTAAACATCTTTGTTTTTTTACAACACTTCATGATGTTACTATTTTTATGAAGTTTGTAATCTTAGAGGGAAAACCAAAAAGTATCATCACAAACAGTAGGTATTCATCGGCAGTCTGGTTTTTTTCATAGACTTATTAATTTTCAAATGTGAAAAAAAAACTGTTCTCGTAGATTACTCAAAAACAAAGCAAACAAATTCATAACTTAAGATACAAAGCAAACAAATTCCTAACTTAAGATATTTATCTTTTGACAAGTACTAATAAAAGTTAATCAAATTCGTATCTTAAAAAGTCTTTGAACAAAATTTATTTCACAGTGTAAATTAATTAGCTCTTTTTGTAGATTTTTCAAAAAGCTACGTTCATTTTTGGTAATGAATATAACATAAAACTTGACTCCAAACCATTAAAATCTATAACGTTTTCTTCAAATTCTTGTCATAATAATGCTAATTAATTTATGGGAAATTTAAGCACAGGCAGCATTAAATTACACCGAGGGTCGCCAGTTTAATTTAGACACTGCTTTACTAGAAAACAATGTATGTGATTAAAATGAATTTGAGATGCCCACACTGCTAGTTTTAAACATGCAAAATCAGAGCAGATGCAACATAGTGGTGTCAGATTAATTCCTGTTAACTCCCCCTATGAGGATCAGGTTGGTGAAGAGGCAAAGGAATGACCTAGCCCTTCTTTTTAAACCCTGGTGTTATTTCTCCTTCTCTCAACTATATCATAAAGATTCAGCAATATAATCACTTGAATATTATGCAAACATTTTTTCTTTGTAGTCTTCATTATAAAAATTAAACAAATTTCTTATTCTGATGTTGTTAAATCATTATACACAACATAAATTGCATTGTTTAGAACAGTGTTTTTCAAACTTTTCTTTAAATGAAGACGATTTTCATTTATTAAAATGTTCTGCAAATCATTTTACTCTTGTACCTTTAGAAAGCAAATTTTTTAGCACCAGCATACTTATATTTTGAAAATGCATTTAATTTATATTATCAAGTTAACAGTTGAAAATTTATACTTGTGTTTAATAGTTCAAGACAGAGTATAGATGGTATATTTATCACATTAACTAAAAATCTAAGAAATGTTGATATACACATTAATGAGATGGACGAGCCATCTGATTTCTGCATAACTTTTCTATATTTGGACATATGTTGGTAAGAAGTCCCTTCTTTTGCTGATAAAACTCAGACAGAAGTTTATAAATAGAGAAGCTGTAATACACTTCATAAAATCTCACGCTTGAAAGAAAGCATGAAAGATGACTGCCATAAGTAATTTTGAAACTCTGAAATGTTCCCCTAGAGTGTGGTATATGTAGTTAATTTGAATTTTATTTTTTGTCCTCTATGGAAATCCAGCAGGACTATAAGGGTGGCTTCAAGGTCACAGATTGAGAACCACTGCTTTAGAAGATTCAGTGGGCAGAGGAATCTTCACTATTATTACCTCAGTTACTTTTTGAACGTGAACATAATGCATATGCTCTAATGGAGAAATGACAATGCAAACAATCAGTTAACTTTGAACCCAGCTATATGGTGTACTTCTTTTTTGAAAAGGTTAATACATGCTATGAAAACAAAAGTTGAAAAAGTTTTTTAAATACATTTATGAAAATTCAAGCTAGGACAAAGAATTAGGAATTCCAGAAATCTTGTTATTTGCAGGTCTGATCATGTTACTTACGCAATTTTTGGAATGATATAGAGAAGGCTATAACAACAGGGACCGTACTGAACAACAAAATAATTTACAGTGCGATTTAGTTATTCTACAATTTAAAGAAATTTTTTAAATTTTTAACTTACATTTCTCAATTTTCATACGTTCAAGTTCTCTTTCTGCAACACCTCGGTAAACTTCTTCATACTCTTGCTTTATATCAGAGCGAGAGGCTAAAAGTTTCAAAGGATTTCGTGATGCAGCATGTTTTCTCTGAAATTTTAGTCTTTCGCGTCTTTGACTCAAGCTATATAAATCATAAGAAACATTAATAAATAACAGAAAAAAAATGATTTTCAGTACCACAGAAATTAATTAGAAAATTTACATAAAAATTACAATTTAAAATCATTCAGATTTTGAATTAGAAATAAAACGTAAAGGTGAATTTAAAGACAATAAGTTTAATTTTTAAACCTGTTGAAATTATTATATGATTTTTAATATTAATTTCAAGAAAATTCCAAGATGTTTTACAAGAAAACTCAGCAATAAAAAAAATAAATAAATAAAATAAAATTTTATTAAGCAGTATACTTGCCAGACCTTAAAAATTATATGCATCACTTTACATAATTAATCATTCTTCAGATGTTTATTCCGTAACAGATATTTTCATTACAACTGCGCACACAATCACCTCTCTTAATTTTGAAAACATGAACAATTTGTTTCCATAGAAAGCACAAACTGAACTTCAACAGAATATAATTATAATTGTACCAAATTTTAAATTGTTCTGCTGCATACCAAATTTTATTCTAATACTTTCTAGCTAATTACAGTGAAACTCATATAACAGTAAGAATTTAAGTATATTGCATGTATATAAATCTGTCTTTCTGTGCTGATGCACAGGGAGCTCTGGAACTAAGCCACCAGTTGGCTGGAATGCATTGTACTGATGAAGGCAACAAAAACAAATAAAAAAAAAAAAAAAAAAAAGATACCCAGCAATTTTATACCAAGAAATACATAATTTATGAAACATTAGACATTGAAGCTCCATGATACGAAGGTATGCCTGCTTAGAGCGGAATAGGTAGGCAAAGACAAAGCAGGAAGAGAAAAAACAACAGATTTGACCAAAACATTCCCAGCTTCTTGAAGACTTAAAAATGACACGCAGAGTTCCTCAGTGAATATGAATTTGACATGGGTAGGAAGAAAAATGCAAGTCTTTAATTTGAAACAGAGAGACAAAGAGAGGAAATTCACACAAACATATGTGATAAAATTACTACTCAAAATGTGAGCCACCAAGCAGTAACACAAAGATCACACTGCCATCATGGAGATAAGTGGATATGTTCCATAATGTCTAAAAGCATTGCACATCCATTGGATAGTGCACCATAATACATTACTAGAACTCATTTGGCAAAGCTATGGCCCACCAGCGGACGAGCAGTAAAGTCGCTGAACACTGGTAGTTTGGTCCGAGGTTCGAATCCCGTGAACGGGCTGGCTGCATGGGTGTTTTCGTGGTTTACACCATGTGTAATGTATATACAAGCCAGTTTCCGTTAGAAGGTCCTCCCCGAAGGCATCCCTCCTTTTAGGCAGATAGCCCTCAAGGCTTTGCCATTATCACACACACACACACACGTTACTTTATGTGCAATGCAGAAATAACCAAGCAACTCATTCCAAATGTAGACATTCCATCATGCATAAATTACATGCACTGGCATATGACATGAGGGATATCTTCAAGCAACAACAGTAAAATCATGCTCCAACAAATGATCTTCATTGTCTCCATAATTTGTAAGCTAAACATCACACTATATGTTCTCTTATTTCCCCTCGTCTTCAGCCACAGAATGTATGCCTAACATTTGGTGATTTTATTCTGTGATACCCTACATAAATGGAGTAAAAAAAAAATAACATTGTTCTGGTTGAATGGCAGCTTTTTTTACATCATTCTCATTTTTAAAATGACAGTTTTTTTTCTGAGTTTAAATAGTATTTTTACAGAACAAATTTACCAGACTAAAAACAAACGTCTATTTTTTTTCTAACATTTATTTACTTTGTTATCTATTTCGTTAAATATTTTAGCTCATATTTTTATAGACCAATTAAAACCATCAGAGGTAAAAATCAAATTTTTAAAAGTTAAATACACTCAATAAAAAATACCAGCAATTGATTAAACATGCTAATTAATGCACCATAAAAAGGTATTATAAAAATTGAGTCTTCAGAGGTTTTAAATGAACTATAGTGTACCATAAGAATCATATACTGTAAGAATGTGGTTTAGTTAAAATAATAAAATTTACAAAGACCAATTTTTATTTTCTAACTTGGGAAAAAGTATATCTTATTCCCAATTCTTGAGAATCAGGTTGGTGATCTTCCATACACAAAGCAATAAGTAAATTAACAGGTTCATCCTGCCATATGATCTCACAGTTTATTTGTGTACTAATTTACTACCATATCATCATCAACCATCCATAGGAACCTCCAAGATAAATTCAGCAAGAATGTCAGCCTGGTAATATTCCACAGCCTTGATAAGTTTTGCCTTTTCATAATTATGCCTTCATTATTTTCTTCAAACATTTCAAAATCCTTAAACACCAAAAATAATTTCAATGAAGATGATGTCCCCTCTTCAACAGAATTATAATATCGATGATCAGTTTTCCTAGCCAGCAATTAGTGTTAAACCTATAAATTAAAAACCATACCAATCATTTGCATAGCTTGTCAATAATTATTCTAAGCCAAAAAGTAATCTACAGCACCAAAACTTGTGTTCCCCCCCGAAAAAAAAAACTGCAAATTTTTCATCATCTTTATGTAACTGCATAACGGTGTTAATAATTAACATTCCATTGAAAATTCACAATCAATTGCTTTTGTGAAGTAGGCTACTTGGTATATAAGACATAAGCATTATAAACAGCATAAGCATTATTTTTTTATAACAAACATATAAAAGAAAAATTTTTTACGTCCTTTTACACACCTTCACATGAGAGGAAAACATGCAAGACACTAGTCTTGCCTTTCGACACCTCCCATTGCACGACTGTACTCCACAACACAGGTCGGTTTCAACACAGTTTCTTCTTGACCTCCCTTATTCCTTTTTATTTTCCCTGTATCAACCATTTCTGCTTTGGAGTGTTTCATGTTTATTATATACACATCCTTCTTGTCATGTCAACGTAAGAACACAATACCTCTACAAGATAGCGTTCTTACTTCTCCTCTTTTTAGCTTATACAATGGCAGCTTCTTTGAGTGATTTCTTTCTCACTTTCACCATTCCAACTTCCAACAACCCTTGTATTTTTATCATGCAAAATTTTGAACAAATTAGGAGATGACTACCAATTATCTAAGAAGAAGGTTATATTCTTTCCCTAAAGTGGGTTCGGCTAGTTGCATGACTACACTTTCCATAGGTTCATCACTTCCTTGAATTTTATCTTGTCCTGTGTAAATTTTAAATTGATAACAATACCCAGAATTAGATTCACATAATTTACAAAAATTAATTCTAAATCTTCCTCATTTGGATGATATGAATTGTACTTAATTTAGCTGCCCTCTGAATTTCATTAGGAATGTCTACGACGATATTTTGTTCTGGAATGTATAACTGTTGAAATCTGGTATTCAAGTAATCCACCACAGATCAAACCTTTCATATTCTGTCTCCCTTAGAAACCACCTCATTATCCACAAAATAAAGATTATGTGTTATACGAAAAAACATTTATGAGGCATAATTAACAAAAATATTGGTGTTTCTAATATTTTTCGTTTTGACCAATACATGTATATTTTAGACTTTTTATCTGCAACATTATAATGCATAATGCAAAATATGCTCGAACTTCATCATTTGTTAGTGAATACCACTCCCTATTCATTTTCATATTTTGTTCCATTTTCATTTGTGCTGCATATCTACTCGTTTCTCCAACATTAAAAAAAAATTATCACATAAAACTTGCTTGAAAACACACAGAGATGTTGCATTCATACCCAGTCTTCGTAGAACTAAACAATTCATACCAGAAATTCCAATAAATTCTTTTATATTCACAACTCTTTTTTTTCCCCCCTAAATTCATCCTCTCTGCTTGAAATAGGTCTTGCACGTTTCTGCATATTTTGTTGAACAGAGCTAGCTTCACTTGAATTTGAAATATCACTTGAATACTCAACCGTATACACACTTTGGTGACAATTTTCATCTCATTATCATCACTAGAATGGTGATAACTTTCATCACCACTTTCTTATAATACATTAAACTCAGACATGATTGAGGACTAGTTCTAATTTTTACTAAATTCAAATATGTACTACGGTATTCGGCACGCGAGATCACTGCTATACTGACTACTGCTTTCATTGAGCTTTTTTTTTTTTTTTTTTTTTCTTTACTGGTTTGGTGATGCAACTTTATCAGTTCTGTTGACAGGCAGAAAGCATCTTAAACAATCTAAACATAACAGCATCAGTGCACGACTGAAAGAGTTAAAGAATCTAATAATATACTGTGCGATGTTTGCTGAAGACAGTTCTTGACATCTCGGAGTCTACAATGGTACACGAAATAAATGACGTTATTTTATATCAAGGGGTTAACTTTATATTGATGTGCACATGCTATGCCAAATCAAGTCTGCCCCAAGCACACCACTATACACAAAGACAGTAATAATTAATCGACTGATCTTTAGAATATGGTAACTGGTAGTTTGGCGACATTTTGGAGGCGATAGAGGTACTACCTGGGACTTTGGTAATAATGTGAGCAGTACTCAGTTCCGATTACGCATTATTTTGTGTGAGAGAAATGAGAGATCATGGGATATGTCATGTGATATTAATGGACGAATTACGGTTCTTTAATCGGAAAAGGGGGGAAATCGGGAAAAATCTGGAAATTTTTTAATTTGGCTTTATTCTGTGTTGTGTGAAACAGTGTTCGTTAATTTTTGGATCCCATGGCCCTAACTAAAGTGAATTCGAAATGGGTATTTAGTGGGATTGAAAGGGGTAGTAATAAGTGTTTCTTTAAGGTTGTGCGAGATAGAAGTAAAGATGTTTTATTAAGTTATTTATTTTACCTGGTACCTTGCTGTGAACTATAAGTATGATTTTAAAGATCCTGAAACAGAAATAAGAAAAGTTTATCGGACATGTAATCAAGATTCTGAAGAAGATTAGGTAAGTTAGTATTTTTAATTATTTGAGGATATTATTTTTATGCATTGTTCTAAATGTAAGGTGGAAGTAAAGTAATTTGCGTAAACTTGCATGGAAATAATTTACATATTTGACACTACGTATTTGTAACCATTTGTAATATTTGCGGTATGAATTAGTTAGTGATGTTTGCAATATAATATATAATTTAGAGGTAAAACTTTTTGGATATTTTATTTATTTTATATGGGGAAATGTTCATATTTGGAAGGGTATATACTTTTTCGCGATCAGGTAATTTCATATACATTCTTTTTACCAGGTTTAAAGATTCAGAAAATTGTTATGCATTTTCGTGAAATTTTTCTAATTTATGAGAAAAAAGCAGTGTACATGGATATAGTGAAGAGTGTGCGCAATGCCATTTTTGTGCAATTCTGGGATGTTTTTTTAAGTAAAAATAAGTCGACGTGTACATGGTTTAGTGATATTTTAATTAAATGATAGTTATTTTGTGAATTTTATGTTTGTAGGAATTTGGTATACGTTTTAGTTGAAGTAAACGTGCATGGAAATAATTTAAATATTTGACACTAAGTATTTGTAATTTTTGCGGTATGAATTCGTTGGTGACGTTTATAATATAATAGATAATTGAGAGGTAAAAGTTTTTGGATATTTTATTTATTTTATACGTTGAAATGTTTATATTTGGAAAGGATATATACTTTTTCGCAATCAGGTAATTTCATATATGTTCTTTTTACTGGGTTTATAGATTCAGAAAATTGTCATGTATTTTCGTGAAATTTTTCTAATTTATGAGAAAAAAAGCAGTGTACATGGATATAGTGAACAGTGTGCGCAATGCCATTTTTGTGCAATTCTGGGATGTTTTTTTAAGTAAAAATAAGTCGACGTGTACATGGTTTATGTGTATGTGTTATTTTGAAAAACGCGTAAGGAGTATGGTATTGTGCACTTTTTCCCAATTTTGCAGTGAATATTTGTCATGATTAAGCAGTTTCGTTAGATAAAATTTCTAGCATAAGTGTAATTCGGCTAGTAGATTGTTGGCAGAAGTGTTCAGTAGATAAAAAGAAAAGAAACATGTCTTTACTTTACTTCGTGAAGACAAAATGGCGGCGGAAAAAAAAAATAGAGGGTTGCTGTAGGAGAGTTGGTCGCCAAATTTTCGCCAAGAAATCGCCAAGTTACCATAGTGTAAAGATCAACCAATTAGTCTAATCTGCCAAAAATATCAATCTCCCAAAAAATAAAATGATGCATAAGTTCTGAAAACAAGAGAAGAGTAACTCTCTTATTTTTCAGTCCCCCCCCCCCCGGTGATAAAAGCCAAAAAAGCATTTTTACAATTTTGTAAAAACTTTCTGTAAAATCATTTAAAAAATAAATATTTATATAGATTGTTTCTTTCTAGGACACACTATAAAGTAATAAATACAGTGTAATAATTCACGGCTTGGTACCACAGTCAATTACCAAGCTACCCTGTCAAAAGATACATTGAGAAATTCATTCAATTTTTAATAATTCATCATTAAGTTTGGGTTTTAAATAATCTTAGAAACCTTTACACACAAATGCAGAAAGTCATGGGATAACAAAATGCAAAATTTGATTTGGTGCATCTCATAAAAATTTCTACAAATGCCAAGAACATTATTTCCATTATTAATTATAAACTTATGAGTTTTGTGAGAAGCTTTTGGTATGAGTATTGCAAACCATCATGAATTATCAACTTTTAAACATAAAATGATAACTGTAGCCTGAGGAATTAAGAGTTTCTGAGGTTTCTGAAGTTACAAGTACATTCAATATTCTTCTCACTGCACAGCTTTACAATGGAATGAAAATATGTATAGAAAGCATTAATAATTACAAAGCTAACAATGGGAGATTCACGACTGTGATCAGAAACTTATGACAGAATTGTCTACACTAACAGACAAGCGACACTATGTAATATAATATCCATGCACGGGATGACATGTGCCCATGACACACCTGGCCAATTTGAACAAGTCCATGGATCAACACATTAACACTGCATAGTAGGCATTGCAATGAAATGAAGGAATTTTGAACATTTTCTGTAATCATGATTTGCTTCATCTGTATCTTTAATTTTTTTTTTTAAACAAAGTCACGTTAACACCATTACTGACTCATTTTCTTTGCATGTTAATTACACTGCTGTAGCATTGCATGGTTGGATTTTTGGACACAACTGCCTACGTAAAACATGATTGTCATGTTCTGACAGACCAGCACATAAAGTTTGTAAATGGCCTTTTAAGATATCCTGTACAGAATATTAGGGGCATACCTATGAGCTTACAGCAATAAATTAATAATAATAATATGAGAATAGAAGACTCACAAAAATGTCTTTACAAACAGCAGGTCAATGGACGCTGTACTTTACATGGTCTCATGAAGACATTAATTGGACCCTAGAAGTTACAGTAAAATAGCCAGGTCTGATGAGTCGAGGAACATGTTATTTATTACAAGTAGACAGTAGGATTCAGATCTAAACCAGATCTTATAAGGCCACAAACCCACATTGTCAGCAAGTAATTTTTCAAAATGATACGAGTTCTTAGTGATGTGAATAGTGTTTTTAAGGCATGATTTGAGTCTTTTGATCCTGCTAAACATGTCATTAAATGAGAATTATTAAGCAGCTCAGTAAAATTTGAAGCCCTTCATGGATTTCAGTTACCAAAGAACAATGGGAACTCGTTGATTTCAGGTATTCAAACGGATATGTTATGTAATCAGCTCAGAATTGTTTAAGATTGGTTTGAAAAGAATTCCAAAAAGTTCTCATGAATAATTTGGTCACTAAATCTGCCAGACATGAATCCAGTCATGTCATCTATCAGACATGACTTACAGGATACGGTAAGTCACGATAAAAGGTTCTTGCATATTTTTTACCTACAATAAAACAATGTTAGAGATAGCTATCGAGATTACATACATCTCAGTATCTTTACTGGAGGATTTGGCTAACTTCCACATTCTACATCACATCGGATTATTGCACATTCCTAGGCTAGGTGTTATCCCACACAATATTAATTAAGTATCCCATAACATTTGGCATTTGAATGCAATTATCACTGAAATTGTAAATATACAGCAAATAAATATTTAAAAATACACAAAACCTCATTTATAAACAGAAACTCACAGTTCATGTGTTTCAGCTGATAAAATTTGGAAGACTTCATCAGAGATTTCAAAGGTGCTTGCTGAAATTTTCTCTTTCACAGACTTAAAAAAGGAAGTAAAACTCTCATCATCTACTTTAGGAACATGCACTTTAGTAATTTTATGTATTTTTTCAAGCTCAGAAGAACTACCTAAAAGTATGAAATAAAAGCTACATAATGCTACTTAAACTCAAGGAATAAAAAGTAAAGAAATAAATTCAAAGGTACTAAAAAATAATAAATGATTAACAGCATTTAAATAAAATGTTCACATGCATTAAAAGATGGAAAATACGCAAATTTCTAGCTATATATACATGAGAAAATGTCAGACCATTGTAATTATAACTCATGTTTCGTAAAAGAAGATCAACATTACAAATGCATGCCATGTAAATTCATTTGGAATATGCATGTACATAGGTAGGCTAGTATATATTAAAATAATTTAAAATGACAAAAATATTGAATAATGAATTAAATACAATTTTTTTAATTTAATTACTAAAAGTAAACAGTACAGTAAATTCTTTAAAAAACTGCTTGAAGAATACAGTTTTCATATAACTGATAAAAACAGCAATATTCAGAAATATCCAAACACACACAATTAGGAAATTCTTAAAACTTTTAACAAAAACTTACTGCATGTAATCAAGGAAGACTGGCTTTTGCTAAGATGATAAGGAGAAGATGGTGTACTTCGACTGGTATAGCTTGAAAGTTCCTGAATATTAGCTGAAAAAAATTTAAATGTTAGAAAAAAACATAAGAAAACATAAATATCAAAGATCTGAAAAATAAGTAAAAACTATTTTTGTAACTCATTCAGTGATTTAAAAATCTGTTAATAGTTTTAAAAAGTACCTTAGAATTCATCAATAGAATAATTACTTAAAAGAGACATGGAGTATTTCAAATTAAAGTATCTCTACTCAGAGCAAGAAAGCCATTTCCCTAAATGTTGTCAAATAAAGAAGTGAACATTTCCAACAATTTGAAAGAAATTACAACAAAAAAATATAAAAACATTCATCAATATGAGATACCATGGCATTGTTATCACTTACTGGAAGAAAAGATCACAAATCATTTAAGCCCAGAGACATCAGTTAAGGATAAAAAAAGGATACGAGACTGTGCAAATCAGTTATAAAGCAAACATGAATATTTTCATCATTTAAAACACTTCTGGACTGATCTTTGGAATATGGTAACAGGTAGTTTGGCTACATTTTTGAGGAGATAAAGGTTACTACCTAGGACTTTGGTAATAATGTGAGAAGCACTCAGTTCCGATTACGCATTATTTTGTGTGAGGGAAATGAGAGATCATGAGATATGTCATGTGACATTAATGGATGAATTACAGTTCTTTAATCGGAAAAGGGGGTAAATTTGGAAAAATTATTTTGTATTAAGCTTGATTGTGTGTTGTGTGAAATAGTGTTGATTAATTTTCGGATTGCATGGCGCTATGTAAAGTGAATTCTAAATTTTTAATACGTAATAATTAATAATAAGTTGACTACTGGATTTCGGATTTAGAAATTAGCAGTAGTACTGCAGCCGATTGGAACTTTTTCTGTAGGGAAGTGTGCGTGCCACGTAATGAAGATTCTGAAGAAGATTAGGTAAGTTAGTATTTTTAATCATTTGAGGATATTATTTTTATGCATTGTTCTAAATGTAAAGAGTAAATAAATTAAAATGGTATTATTAGAAAATTGTTATTAGCAATGATTTAGTTTAAAGTAATTAGGATTGTAATCTAATTTTTATTAATTTAATGTATGTGCTTATTTATATTTTAAGTAGTGTTTTTTATTTTAATTATATTTTAATTTAATGATCGCGATTTTGTGAGTTATATGTTTGTAGTATTTTGGAATACGTTTGAGTAGTATACGTTGAGTATTTTCATGCATTTTCGTGAAATTTTTCTAATTTATGAGAACAAAGCAGTGTACATGGATATAGTAAAGAGTGTGCACAATGCCATTTTTGTGCAATTCTGGGATTTTTTTTAAGTAAAAATAAGTCGACGTGTACATGGTTAAGTTATATTTTAATTAAATGATAGTTATTTTGTGAATTTTATGTTTGTAGGAATTTGGTACACGTTTCAGTTGAAGCAAACGTGTATGAAATAATTTAAATATTTGACACTAAGTATTTGTAACTATTTTAATGTTTGTGTATAAATTTGTTGCTGACGTTTATAATATAATAGATAATTTAGAGGTAAAAGTTTTTGGATATTTTATTTATTTTATACTTGGAAATGTTCATTCTTAAAGTTAATATGAGAATAGAAGACTCACAAAAATGTCTTTACAAACAGCACGTCAATGGACACTGTACTTTACATGGTCTCATGAAGACATTAATTGGACCCTAGAAGTTACAGTAAAATAGCCAGGTCTGATGAGTCGAGGAACATGTTATTTATTACAAGTAGACAGTAGGATTCAGATCTAAACCAGATCTTATAAGGCCACAAACCCACATTGTCAACAAGTAATTTTTCAAATGGTTTATGTGCATTTTTTAAATGGTTTATGTGCAATTCTGGGATGTTTTTTTAAGTAAAAATAAGTCGATGTGTAAATGGTTTATGTGTATGTGCTATTCTGAAAAACGCTCAAGGAGTTTGCGATTGTGCACTTTTTCCCAATTTTGCAGTTAATATTTGTTATGATTAAGCAGTTTTGTTACATAAAATTTCTAGCATAAGTGGAATTTGGCTAGTAGATTGTTGGAAAAAGTGTTGAGTAAATAAAAAGAAAAGAAATATGTCTTTACTTCGTGAAGACAAAATGGCGGCGAAAAAAAAGTAGAGGGTTGCTGTAGCAGAGTTGGTCGCCAAATTTTCACCAGAAAATCGTTAAGTTACCATAATCCAAAGATCAACCCATTTCTGTAATTGAAAGCATATACCTACACCCAACAATTGCAAAAATAAAGGCCGGGTAAGGACTTTTAAGCTGGATAAAGGGTGTGGTTTGCCATCTTCACTAAAAAAAGGGGGGAGGTGCATAATTAGATGTTATAGCAGTCCCATATACAAAATTTCAATGATCCATGGCTAATCATTTTTAGCTATGCGAGATATACACATATATATATACATAGACACATCTGGAAAACACCCATTCTAGAATAAACAACTGTTTATTCTGTCTGTACAAACAGATGTCATTAAAAAAATGTCAAAATGGACTTTTCATTGAAATGTAAAACCCAAATTTTTTTGCAATTACAATACTTCCTTTACTTTGTGCAAGGAATTAAAAAGGAAAAAAAGAAAAAAAATTAAGACTACAAAATTTTATCAGTCAAAAACATTCTTCAGGAAGCAAATGAAGAGAAACCAATAAATTGGAGGGAAGAAGTTAATGAAAAAAAGCTGAAATAACAAGACTACATCAGGATGCTTCACCAAGAATGCCCAATCAGAATCAGGATGCTCAAATGTGTAAAATCTCTGAGTAAATGAGTTCAGACTGAAATAGAAAAATTATAGTATTATATCAAATAATAATGATCTTAAAAAGCATACTCAATAAACACTGCTGATTTTTGAGTTGCTTCTTTTTAATATATAGTTTTAACTTACTTGTTTTACTACGACCTTGAACAGGTTTGGGGCTATATTTTTTTCTACTAATAACTGGACTTGAATGAGGAGAATATTGCATTTGTACCATTTTTCCAGCAACAGTGAATTGGCTTGCATCTTTGTCTTCGACTCGATTCCGCCATTGATCCTGAGCTTCACCAAGCATCATGATTCTATCTAAAAGGCTGCGAGGCCGTTCACTGGTTGGTTTCTTAAAATAAAAAATCAGCACATTATTTCATATAAAATGCTTCAAGAACTTTAATGACCAATTTTTACTTTGCATAAAGTAATTCTGCATAAATTATTTTAATAGCATCACTGTAATAAATTAATTTAAATATTTTTAAAAATTAGAAATTTACAATTTTATTATTATTGTCAACATGAGCTATATCCTGTAAGTAAATATACAAAAGGCAATATTCTTCTTCCTTGCCCAAACTTCTATTAAAAATTAATTATTCAGTAGAAGACTACCAATTGTGCATAAGTATAGCACAATATACATGTCAGAATCTCCAGTGTCCTTTGGGAAGACATTTAGAAATTACTAGCAACAGTTTCCCCAATTCAGTCTTGAAGCAAGCTACAATATTCTACTGATTATCATTATATAACTGTTGCTAAATAAATATTTTGCCCAAAATTGCTAAACTTATGTCTATAACTAAAACCTGTAAGTAATAGACTGACTGTATGCTAAACTCTAATGCCCCTATCTTTTTTTAAATAAATAATACAAATTTTAGAATCTGCAGGTGTCAAACGGTTTCCAGCATATATTTCACATGCGACTGCTAAGCAGAAATGTTATCTGAATGACCAGCACCTTAGTCTTTCTTAAGGTATGCTGTCATAGCATTAATCATCTACACAGCCTGCCACTTTCCAATATTCTGACATTTCATTTAACATTATTAATTTTATCATTCACATATTCTGAGAATTGCCAGCTCTCAAAAGTATTACCATTTCATGTGGTTTAAGAACTTAAACTTGCTTTTCAAATTAAAATGCCCTACTGTTCTAAAAATGGATTCATTTAAAAAAATGTAATTAATAATAATTTTACCTCATTACATTCACATTATATTTACAATTACTTAATAAACTTTCACATTTGTACTTCTTTTAAATGTATGACTGGCATGTTATTACATTTACATACTATTTACAGTTATTTAATATTTTTTGCATTCATACTTCTTTCATACGCATGACTGGCCCATCAGGTTTCACAGCCGGTGGGGGTTTTCCTCCAAGTCTTTTCTTCCAGTTCTCAGACCCACTTCGTTGCAATGCAGCTAACCTAAATAGATAGGTTCTATCAGTCAAATACATAATTATAAAAATCAGATTAAAAATAAAATTTGATTTAATATTTTGTGCTTTTTTTCCCCTTATTATCTATATAAAAAGTGAAACTGTTTTTTTATATTTTCTTACACTGAAATATTTCATGGAGATGTAAATAGCAAAATACCAATTTTGACATATTGGACTACTTATGAAAAGAAGCTTATAGGTACTGTTCAATCAATTTCAAATAATTTAAATGCATTAATTGATAAATTTATTAAACACTCTCTCAAAACGTTGAGTGGTTAATCTTTGGATTATGGTAACTTGGCAATTTTTGGCAAAAATTTGGTGACCTGCTAGTTTTTGTTTGGATGCCATTTTGTTTTCCCGAAGTAAAGGCTTTTTTTTTTTTTTATTCAACATTTCCAACATTTTTTTCCAACAATCTGCTAACCGAATTGCGCTTATGCTAGAACTTTTATGGAACAAAAGTGCTTAATCATGATGAAGAATAGGTGCGAAATTGGGACAAAGTGCAGAATCGCCCACTGCTTGCCGCGTTTTTACGAATTGCACATACACAGTATCATCCATGTACACGTCGACCTATTTTCACTTAAAAAAGCATCCCAGAATTGCACAAAAATGGCATTGCGCACACTCTTGACTCTATCCATGTACACTGCTAAAGTCCTAGCTAATAACCTTTATCACCTTACCAAAATGTCGCCACTACCTGTTACCATATTCCAAAGATTAGCCAGTAACGTTTTCCTCTATATAAAATGAAATATCAATAAATATTAAAAAAATACCCTTAACTCTCCTAGAAATGAAAATAATTTAATTAAAAATGAACAGAATTCTGTACATATCAAGCACATATCCATACCTTTCAGATATGGAGCCCCCATGTACTTCTAAAACACTCTTTTCCTCTTCTTCACAGACCTGTGTTCTAATTTCAACATGCTTGGTAGTCTCTTCAATACAAGTTGTACCATCAGACCTAACAGTGAGTGATCTTGAAGACTGTGAACTGCTGGAACTTGTGAAGTTCAATTCATCGTTTATCATTTCAATAAACTCCTTACTATAATACACAAAATGTATAATTAAAAATAAACACAAATATAATTAAATTATACACATAAATTTGAATCATGCTAAATTTTCAGACATAATATTAGTTTATTGTATAATAAATCAATGTACATCTTTTCTACTATCGTTTCCAAGTCAAAACATTTTGCAATTTTATTATCCTGCCTTTTTAGCCTCACAATTTAAAAAGAAAAAGGGGCATATATATGATGTCAATGCAGGAATCAAAACACATAATAAATAATGAACATCAAAGTAAGGAAAGTTATATCGAATTGAATTTAAATTTTTTAAGTGTAATTTTATAAGGAACTGCAATATTTATTACATATATATATATACGTGTGTGTATGTGTGAGTGTGTGTGTGTGTAATTATGTATGTGTATTATTTATAAAATATTATTCTGTAAATGAAATATCAAGCAGCAACATTAACTAGACTAGAAGAGAAACACGCTAATGTGACAATCAAAATCGTAAAAACAACCTTGTATTTAGCGTAGGTATGTTGATCAGATAGCCTGGCTCAGTAAAAGTAGGCGGCCAGTGCAACTCTGATTAAAAATCTAGTTATAACCATGTGCAGTGCTGATAAGGACCACGTGTTTCTGTGACTCCTTTATTTTCTTCTTTTTAAGTATTTCTTTCTCCTGATGAGGAGGAACGTTTAGCTGTCCTCGAAATCGATTGAGTGTTTCATTATACCTATGCTAAATACAAGGTCGTTTTTACGATTTTGATCAGCAACATTAACTCAGATATAAACAATAAAAATACAAAACACTTAAAAGAATGTAAAAACAAACAAAAATAGTTATTTTCAAATTTTTTTTAAAGGTGTCTTTGTGACTGCCATATTAAAAACACTCATGGAAATGTAGTACTCACAAAGTATACGTAAGAAATAAACATGAGCTTGGTAATGATCCTGATGCTAGCCCAGTGTTTAAAAAATTAAAAGTTGAAATACTAAGGGCCATAACATTTTTAAAATACCATACCATAACATTTTTAAAATTAAGGTTTACTTTATTTTTCAATTGGTGAGGGAGCCATATCAAAATATTTTGTTTTTGATGTAGCCTATGATAAATGTCTCTTAATTTCTTTTTAAAATTTAGTAGTGTAGCATTATCCTGTACAGTGACGGGAAAAATGCCCACAGGAAAAGAGCTCACAGGAATAACGCTCACAGGTATAAATGCTCACAGGAAAAAAACCCACACAGAAAAAAGTTCACATAGATATATGCTCACATAGAAATAAGCCCACTGATAAATAAAACACATAGAAATATCCTTACATTAATCAATCAAAAATTAATCGATTTGAACATCGTACACCTTCTTGAATTTTTCAAAGAAAAATTATTTAAATTACGAAAACATCTATGGTATAATATATATATATATATATAATCTGTATAACTTATGTGTAGATTTCAGTTGCTATATAAGATTAAAAAATGGACTGTTTCGAATTAGGAAAAGGAGAGGAGGAAAGAAGGAAAATGAAACAGAATATACAGTGAAAAATTATTACAATTTTAATTTAAAAAAAAAAATAATAATAATAATAAATACAAGTTACACATTTTATAATATAAACATTTAGAAGAATAGCGCAAATATAAATAATTATTTTATTTAAATTACGTAAAATACCTAATTATATATAAATCATAAATATACATTTCAAGTTATAAATACATAAAATTACTGAATATTAGCTAATATGTGTAAATATCTAATTTTATCATTGATTTCATAATAGTTTCTTACATGATTTGCGATTACTAAATGTAAGTTTTCATATTTTCTTTTAATTTCAGTACTCCCTGTATCTACAATAGCTAATAATAAACATTGACAGGCTAAATCTTTTTTCAGTCCGTTAAATAAAAACCACATACTGGGATGGATGTCTGTAACAAGCTGATTGTAAAATAAAACCACTCCTGGCAGGATGCATGGATATGTAGGCATTGTGCTTGCCACTCAAGGAGATATTGCTAAAATCACTCACACTGGAGGCAACTGTTTCTGATTTGATTGATTTAGTGATCTGAATTCTGTCCTCGATCAACAGCATCCGCCAAAAGAACAATGACCTTCAAAGTTACCCTTTATTAGCAAACATTGCCATTAATATATTTAGATGAGTAGACCAAGGAGCAATTGGCTCACAATACAAATTACAGATGACATCACGAGATCAGCAGTGTCTGCCAACAACCTGTGCTGACAACACCGGCAACTGCTGTCTGCGCACAAGCAACCTTAAGCACATGATTGGCTTCTCTTTTGTCACTCCTCTCACACATATAAACAATTCCATCACAGCAACATCCACCACATGCTCATGCAGCACACATGGAAACAACCAAGTTACAGCAGTGCTGACTAGGTGCTCATACTTTATCCCACAACCAAACAGCAACGTAAGTGTCAACAAACCAGGATCCCACAACCAAACAACAACACAAGTGCCAACAAACCAGGATCCCACAATTAAACACTTTTGCATCAGAATATAAATCATCATTATTAATATCAATTTGAAAAATATCTTCCTGTTTTGCTGTCATAAACATCTAAATATTAAAAATTACTATCATCATGTCAACCTCAAACTATAAATCAAGATCATGATCATCATCCATCACAGTCAAAAACTCCTAATTTATAACTCAGTCATACTTCACAGTTTCTATTTTTCCACTGGGCTTAACTATGAAACATAAAAAATATCCTAAAGGCATATTCTATTATCCTACTTCTCATTAAATTTAAGTCCAATTTTCAAATGTAAATAATCAGAAGTAACAGTGAATACAATAAGATTTATTAAAATTACACTAAAAAAAACAATATTACACAAAGCAGTAATCATCTTACAGAACTGCAATATACACCTTAAAATTAATTCAAAATCTAATCTGTTTCTTACCTTTTGTGAATCAGGTTAAAGTTTACATGGCTAAACAAAAAGCAGGTGTTTTATTTTGTCAAATTTACACAGTACAAATTACCTTTAAAAACGGAAGGTTTAAGCTAATGGTTAGAGTTCCAACAAACTATAAATCACATACAAGTATCTTTGAATATCTGAATACGTACATAATGGATTTAATTAACGAATTAATTCTGCACGTTAAAATCTGACTTTAAAACGGCCTGAGTATATGACATACGACCTAAATAATAAAAAAGTTCTCAAGTATATAGACTACACACTAAATAAAAAAATTCAGAAGTTTATTTAGATGATATAATTTCATTTTAAAAGGAATTAAAACATTTTGAATTTCATATCTTTAAAATGCACTGTTTTACCAAATGAATTCACACACAAAATTAAACATAAGACTATACCTATTGAAAAATTAATATTTCAGTAATTTAAATAAGACAATTTTGCGGGAAAAAAAACTAATATTGGGCAAGAATGGGAAAAAAATAAAACTTACAAAACTCATTTCACCGTATGTTGAAAAGCACGTTTCTCTGAAACACTCCTTCAAAAACCTTGATAAAATTTTGAACTAAAATACAGATATTATTTATAATATGTCAAAAATTAAAACTAGCATCATAGCAAAAATAAACCTTTGCGTAATTAACTATAAATAACTATCCAGCCAAAAGCCCTATTTGAAACACCGAGTTACGGTTGCCGTTTTAATACAGTTAAAGAAATGTCCTCCAAAAATCGTCTGCTAATAAGGAAAACTAGAACGCGCGTGAAACGGAACATTGCGTAAGCAATTTCATCTTTTTGATTATTTCATAAACCAATTGAATGAAATTATGTTTATGCTTTTACTAAGCATAGCCTTTCATAAAAGGACGTAATTTTAAGGTCTAATAAATCATTAATGATTGATAAGAGCTTAAAATTATTTGCAATGAATCTGCCGTACCATTTTTTATTTTTCCTTTTTTGTTTTTGAGATTAGTGAAAAACAAAAAATAGTAAATAAAAAAAATCCATCTTTAAAAATGGGAAAAGTCCTCTGCTATTTATAAATTTGGCAGCTGCAGCAACTTATTTTTTTTTTTAAGTAATGCTTTCTAGAAAGGGAAAGGGGACAAATTAGATTTAATATAAAATTAAATTTAATACAAAATTAGTTTTAATATTGTCTTTCTTGTTCCAAGTTCACCGCACAGCGGGAACTCACATGGTTAAAAAAGACGTCTGATCTTTAGAATATGGTAACTGGTAGTTTGGCGACATTTTGGAGGCGATAAAGGTTACTACCTGGGACTTTGGTAATAATGTGAGCAGTACTCAGTTCCGATTACGCATTATTTTGTGTGAGGGAAATGAGAGATCATGGGATATGTCATGTGATATTAATGGACGAATTACGGTTCTTTAATCGGAAAAGGGGGGGAAATCGGGAAAAATCTGGAAATTTTTATTGCGTTTAGCATTTTGTATTTAGCTTCATTCTGTGTTGTGTGAAACAGTGTTCGTTAATTTTTGGATCCCATGGCCCTAACTAAAGTGAATTCGAAATGGGTATTTAGTGGGATTGAAAGGGGTAGTAATAAGTGTTTCTTTAAGGTTTTGCGAGATAGAAGTAAAGATGTTTTATTAAGCTATTTATTTTACTTGATTTGTTGTCAACTATAAGTATGATTTTAAAGATCCTGAAACAGGCGCGCATACGCTTGCTTTTTATTTAGCGGATAAATAAGAAAAGTTTATCGGACACGTAATCAAGATTCTGAAGAAGATTAGGTAAGTTAGTATTTTTAATCATTTGAGGATATTATTTTTATGCATTGTTCTAAATGTAAGGTGGAAGTAAAGTAATTTGGTATTATTGGGAAAATTGTTATTAGCAATGATTTAGTTTAAAGTAATTAGGATTGTAAGCTAATTTTTATTAACTTAATGTATGTGCTTATTTATATTTTAAGTAGTGTTTTGAATTTAATTTATTTTAATTAAATGATAGTTATTTTGTGAATTTATGTTTTGTAGGAATTTGGTATACGTTTTAGTTGAAGTAAAATGCATGGAAATAATTTAAATATTTGACACTAAGTATTTGTAATGTTTGCGGTATGAATTCGTTGGTGACATTTATAATATAATAGATAATTTAGAGGTAAATGTTTTTGGATATTTTATTTATTTTATATGTGGAAATGTTCATATTTGGAAAGGATATATACTTTTTCGCGATCAGGTAATTTCATATATGTTCTTTTTACCGGGTTTATAGATTAGAAAATTGTCATGTATTTTCGTGAAATTTTTCTAATTTATGAGAAAAAAGCAGTGTACATGGATATAGTGAAGAGTGTGCGCAATGCCATTTTTGTGCAATTCTGTGATGTAAAAATAAATCGACGTGTACATGGTTTATGTGTATGTGTTATTTTGAAAAACGTGTAAGGAGTATGGTATTGTGCACTTTTTCCCAATTTTGCAGTGAATATTTGTCATGATTAAGCAGTTTTGTTAGATAAAATTTCTAGCATAAGTGTAATTCGGCTAGTAGATTGTTGGAAGAAGTGTTCAGTAGATAAAAAGAAAAGAAACATGTCTTTACTTCGTGAAGACAAAATGGCGGCGGGGAAAAAAATAGAGGGTTGCTGTAAGAGAGTTGGTCGCCAAGTTTTCGCCAAAAAATCGCCAAGTTACCATAATGTAAAGATTAACCCTCAAGACTTCTGTCTACTTTGTTTCTCCGTCAGAAGTTTGTTCCTTTATGTGACTCCACGCAGACGCGATCCTAGCAGGGGATTAACACGAAGTACTCTGACGTCACTGTTTTGCATTTGTTCTAACTTCTCCTATTTAAAACTAGCAGTGTGGACATCCCAAATTAATTTTAATCACATATATATTTTCTTCAAACTAGCGGCTCGAGACCCTTGAAGTAATTTTATGCTTCCCGCACATACACTTCCCGTAAACTAATTAGCATTATTATGATAAGAATTTCAAGAAAAAGCTTTATTATTTTAATGGTTTGGAATCCAGTTTTATTTTACATTCATTACCAAAAACGAACTTAGTTCTTCGGAAAATTTAGAAATAGAGTTAATTAATTTACACTGTGATATAAATCTTGTTCAAAATTTCAAGATACAAATTTGATTAACTTTTATTAGTATTTGTCAAAAGATAAATATGTCGCCCAGATAGTAGTTAGGGGAGCCTACTAGGTTCCGAAGGGACCAGGTCCGAATTTCGGGTGAGACATGGATGTTTGTAAATGTATAGTGTTGGTGCGGCATGGCGGCACTCTAAATATGCGGCGAGCCGAAAGTCCTTTCATATGGATTGGTGGGTGAGGAGAGGGGTGGTGACCCCCGTATCCTCCAAGGGTACTCTCACTCAAAATTGGGGGCAGAAAATAGAACTCCAATCTCTCTTCTGAGCAGGCTCTGGTAACCACTTGTTCCATGTAATATGGACCAGACAACAACAATAAAGGATAAATATCTTAAGTTACGACTTTTTGCAATAAAAATACTCGCTTTGTTTTTGAGTACATTTATATGAGAACAGTTTTTACGTAACTGAAAATTAATAAGTCTACGAAAGGCACTAGACCGCCGATCATTGTCTACAAATTGTGATGAGACATTTTAGTAATTTCCCTCCAAAATTACAAACTTCGTGAAAATCGAAACGTCATGAGGTGTTGTAGCTGAAAGGTGCAGTAAAAAAGAAAGATGTTTACACTAATTTATGTACAAATATTATTTTTCCTGTTTTGCGTCATAGAAAAATCTAGAAAAGAAAAGATAGAAAATTGTTGTTATTGTTTATTTTCAAGTTTTGTCCCTCTTGAGAAGCTTTAATAAATTTCGTTTTAGTTTAAACTAAAATTAAGTTACCTACTAGTTCAATATATTACAATTCGTTGAAGAAATCCCAATCTGAAATTTTTTAATATTTAGTTGTCTGTATGAATTTGAAATTGTGACCAACAGAAATTCCTTACAGATACCAACTTTTAGATTTCAGGCAAAATATAAGCATAAATTTGATATTTTTTTGCGTTATTTTTATTTATATGTTTTTACAAATATCTATTAAAAAGTTCCTTAATTTAATTAACAAATTTTGCTTTGTTTAAAAAAAAACTTTTTTTATTGCTGCCCGTCAGCTACTTTGAAATTGTGCATTGGCCTGTGCGTAATGTAAGTTTGTGACCACTGTTATAAAGTATCGTTCATATAATATGTCTTCTTGCGTGCCATAAAATTCATGGAAATGAGAAAGATAGTGATATTGTATTTCATATTTTTCTAAAGGTTATTTTGTTTTTGGCGAAAAAAAATGGATACATGTGTCGAAGACAGGATTCTGTTAATGTGAAGAACGCAAGAATTTGCAGCGAATATTATATATGCAGTGATTGTGAAGAGGACATGAAAAATCACTTGCCTGGATTGCCGCCAAAGAAACTGTTAAAATCCAATACTGTGCCAAGAAAAAAAATAATGTAGAGTGCTTTTGAAAGATTGCGCGAATTAAATTTAAAGAAAATTCATTTTGAGGAGGATTACGAAAATGATGACAGGAATAATAAATCAGATACGAATAATTTTAAACCAGAACTTATAAATGATGATGTAAATACAATGATGTAAATACTGTACGCCCTATGATGATGTAAAAACTGTAAGCCCTAACTGTAAAAATAAACAAGAATGCATTGATAATCTGTAAATACTTTCTCCCCCTCTTTTGAAGGATTAAGAATTCTCTTTAGATACTGTGAGTAAAGTTGTTTTGTCGAACTTAAGACAACGATCTTGTATTTATTTAAATGTATATGTAAAAGTGTGAGTATAAGTTAGACCAATTGTTTTAAAAAAACTGTTACTATATCAAATAGGAAGAGAAACACGCCAATGTAAAATATATAATTAGGTCAAAAAAGCAACCTTAGATTAGATTAACTTTTAAATGAAGCTGTCACCTTCAAGGGCAGTCAAAATAAGTTCTTCTTCTTTAGCTGCAGAAAAAAAAAAAAAAAAAAAAAGACATATATATTTAAAACTTTGCCAAACTAAGTTTCCAACCTCGTAACTATAAAAAGCTGCTTTTATAATTGTCTTAGAAAATAGAAAGATCAATAGATCTCCCATTTAGTATGCAGATGAAGAAAAGATAATGAATGCCGGACATTTTTTCTTCATGATATAATATTAAATGCAAGGAGGGGTGACCTGTAACTTTTCAGAAAACATAGCATATTTTTGCAACTATGTTAAAATTAATAAATAAGTATTATTAACTTTTTAAACGCTATAAAGGATTACAGTGATAACATTTTCTCTTTTAAATTAAAGCCATTTTTTCACGAATAGTTTTCTTAACGCTGTTTTTTAAAATTTAAAACGTTTATTTCTTTGCTGCGAATTGCGTCTTTGTAATCAGTGTCAGCATGATTACGTCATCATTCCTTCACTTCCTGTTTCAGGGGAAAAGCTCTATGAACTGTCCCAGGGAACTCACACAGGGCAGCAAAAGTCATAGCAGCGCCGGCCGCCTCGTTCTTTACTATCATTCGCAGTTTTTCCTACCTTACAGATATAATATGGGCAAATGGCAGATGGTAAAAGGCGTTTAGGAGGATGGAAATCCAGAAAATGTTAGAAGACAAACAAAGAAAACAAAAGAAAA